GGACCATAACGTGAATGTCTTGGAGACTTGCTACACAATGTGCCGCTCAGGTAGTAATAGTGATAGTCCCGTTACTGAAGTACACGACTAAGAGGAAAACGACTGTGGAAAGTCAGAAACAAGAGAAAAAGACAACAAACATTTGCGAAAGCTCGTCTGAAACGACAACGACTAACCACTCAAAAAGACGCAAATTATTCAGTAGATTAAAACAGCGGACGATATCATAGCATCGATTGTGAGTAGAAAAGATCTCTTTTAAATTTGTGACTTTTAAATATTGCGTAATGGATTAATTTAGACCTTAGTACTGGTTTTTAGTTATAGCAAAAGGAATCACGTGGTTTCTTGTTAGACCGTTGGATCAAAAACGTCAATTAAAAATTTTTCCTCAAGTTTTATATTTTGGAGAATTGATACTGTCGTATGCACTTTTTAAAGCATTAAGCAAGGAAAAACATCATTTCATATATAGTTTACCATTCTAGAAGGGGATGTCATTATTTGCATAATAGTTTCGTTACACATAATGAAGATATTTTTGTCAATAATTTGTATTAAAGCCTGATCATTTCTATATTTTAAAAGCTAGATAGCATCAAATTAATAACTCTAAATGAACACAGTACAACGCATACCATAGAGTGCAATACGTTGTTGATAAATATGAAATATCAAAAGCAAGGTAGATGCATCAATTAAAGTAGGAAATCCCATTGGACTTACTATACATCCAGGTCTCAAGGTTCCTCAGGATGGTTTCAAGCTGTTGTTCTTATTTAAAGAATGTTGAATTTACAATAACCAGTAATATGAATTTTGCAAAATTTCTGGTCTTTAATGGAGATAATAAATAAACATTATTTACATAAGCCTTTTTCAGACTTGAGATGGCTGTGTGTAATATCGATATCTGCAGTCCTCAAAATCCAGCTTTTTGGGTTGACAAGAAAAAAAATGGAGATGCCTCCAGTCATTTTTTCAACCATTGTCTGTTTCTGGTCATGTTTCATTCAAGGTAGCGCTCATTTTTTCAAATATTGTGGTCTTTTGAGAACTTGACACCTTAGCGAGAAGTTAAACTCTGCAGCTGGTTCTCTTTTATCTGAAGATACTTCCAAACATTTTACTATATTAAGTGTGCGTGTTTTCATGAGGACCCCTTCGGTTCTGAACACCGAACTGCCTCATAGCATCGGAAAGTTGGTTAATAGAATCTTAGCTGCTCTTTAAAGTCTTCATATTTAATTTCAGTTACTATTTCTAGAACTCTGTTTTAGCATAATACTCCTATTTGTTTTCCTGCAAAACAGAGTTTCGTTTTACAAACAGTTAATTAATACGCATATTGTGCATTCTAAACGCATTTTGCAGAATCCAAATCTCATTTAAATGTTCGTGGTTAGGCTCTGCTTTATGATCAATTCTGCACAAGTTGATCATATTAAAAAATGTTAATTCAACGATATTTCACAAAATTGATTAATTGCTGCAGCTTTTTAACTGGGTAAAGTAAAAACATCTAGTTTATCAATTATTTCAAACTGCGAGCTTTGGGCCATAATGCATGAGACTTGAAAATAGGCATCCATTCAAATTAGATGGAACGCACTCAAAGACTCACAAAGTTGGAATAGCATCGGAACCAAAACGCCAAAAAGTAAACTACTTGAAACGTGAGGTAAATGCAATAATGATAAGTTTTTTTGCGAGTTGCAACACAAGAAAGTGTTCCCTAGTGACCATGAACAAAAAATCAGAAATATGGGAGGTTGATAGTTCAACAGGAATGCCATTTAATCAAGCTTTTCTCTAAAAATCACCAGTTAATTATACGTTTTTTGAGCAACAATATGTTGTGCAACTATAAAATAAAAGAGTTGAAAGTACACAATTCTTCTAACTAGGATTCGTTTTATTTTAGTGTCTGACTGGTGAAAAAGACACCAGTTTGTCACCATACTGACTAAATGTTTCATTTACTTCAAAAAGAAATCCGACACTTAGGCACAATCATTTTCCAAGCTCGAAACCTTGGTTGGTGAATGTAATTCATTTCCAATACAACAGACCTCGTACCCACCAAGTAAAACCATGATGCATAAAAGTTGGAAAAAATTCTTTTTCACTACAAGCGATTTTAAATGGATTACAGTGAACTGCTAAACACAAGATTAATAGTTGTAGATAATTTTTTACGACTATTTCCAATAAGTGAATTTGTGATTTCCCCTTTAAATTGGGAATTAACATGAAGAATTACTTCCCCAATTACAAATTTAATTATCCATTTTAATTAATTTCTACAGCACACTTTTTCCGAAATACATTGACTCAATAACCCAAGACTCGTGCATGGCTAATGCAAAGATTGTGATTGAAAATGAAAAACTGAGATTACATAATCAAGAGTAATTTTTTACGTGTGTGTTTCTTGAGGGACATTAAACATTAAAATACATCAACACTGAAAAAGCATTCTGACAAGCTTGGGTGCATCAACAATGCTGGCCGTTAATAATCGTTGAGTGAGCTCTACAGCAGCGTACTATAAAATTTGCTGAATTGGTGGATTATTCAAAAAGATAGTATATTGCAGACGACATTTGTAGAGGAGAAACCCGTTTTGGGTAGCTGCATCGTTTGATACAATCAAAATATGTGGACTAGGGCAATTGACAGAACAAAAAGCAGAAAGAATCACATTTCATTGATTTATCGAGATTTGTTGAAAAAAGAGCTCAAGTAGTAAATTCCACAATTAATGAGTTGGCTGCCAACTCTCGACACGAGCATCAACCTTTCTCTATTTGTTGCGACGACTCAGGAGTTGTAAAGAACGTGTAACCCCTAGCACATTCTGATCTGTTCTGTACACCCAGCGAGTGTGACACCAACTTAGGATGTCCCTATACTATAATTACACCTTATGTGTATTATCATTCTACGTTTACTTTAAGAATAGCATAGATTGATATGCAGTAACATACAGAGAGCAGAACAGATCCTCCAAAGACTGCTTGAGGATTTCACTCCGGCGACCTAGACGATCAGCGCTGTGTGCCGTTCGGCGCTGAACAGCGACACCGTCACAGCAATCCCCCAGGTGGACTCAGACACTACTAGCAGTGCTTAGTGTTAGCCCCGGAGCTGTTTTTGTCACCCACAAAACCAAAGTTTAGCTTACGTGGCGTGTCCTTGAATCAGCACTATTTAAACTCGCTTCTTTCTGTGTGTCAAGAATTGCTCCACTTCATAAACCGCCTTGATAAAGGAATAGTTATACCCTGCAGGTGGCTCGGGGCGATCTGCTTAATTTTTTGGTGCTGAGGATTTGCTGACGTGGCACCAAAACAGTCACCCTAACTTATGTAATAAGGACTAAGATTGTGTGTAAAAAAGAAAGCCCGACGTTTTACATTACTAGCCCCTGAAGAGTACAAGCACAGGTAATTATGGACTTAGTCATTAATAAAAAAGGCAACTTTGATAGAAAACAAATGTTGAAAAACACAAAAATGGGTCGAATGCATCCCCTATCCAGCAATCAAAAGACTGGCAACCACTTAACTGAGAAATTGAAAGCTTACGTAAAACTAGGCGCAGTCCAAACATCCCCCCAGAAAAGTGAAGCAGCGCCAAAAGTAGGTTTTGCATTTGAACATTAGGTGACGTTCATATGTCTTCTAGCAGTGTAACTTACAAAAAAATGAGCAAATAGGAGGCGAGGTGGATTTGCACATTTCCACTTTTGGTAATATTAAGGCTAAGAATAACGCCACTCGTTCACATGCTGGTTTTTTTTAACAATTCGTAGTTGTGGATTTGTTTGCAAGTTACCGTATATAAACTACTGGAAAAAGATGGATTCAGCACTAGGATGAAAATATCTTGACGAGCTGATCGGAAATTGTACTTAAAGTAATCCTAAGGCGACTGCAAGGCTCATATGACTTCGCAATAGTCATCGTCTGAACAAAATGCAGGTTGGTTTCTGATGTAATATTTTCAATATAAAAACCCTATTGATTTCAATGATACTTGATCTTGACTGGGAGACCCTTGAGGACGCCACTGACTGTGGAGCAGTGTGCTCCTTTAGCCCTTAGGTTTGAAAACCCAACCGCCACAGGACGGTATCAACACATTCGAGGACATTTAATGCGGCGGCGAATGCTCAGGAACAAAAAACCAAACGGGCTTCACCCCAAGCCCAAATAAACAATGAGTCTCTTAGTAAAAATGCCACAATTGCACTAGTAAACCGGCCTCCGAGATCTGACTGATAGTCTTCAGACTCCAAAACCTACGCAGAACATTTTGAAAATTCCACCATTTAAATACACATTCATAAAGCTGACTAGCACCCCATTGACACAACTAGTTAAAACAAACAACACGACTTAGTAGTGTATTTACTTGCTCTGTGTGTTCAAAGTTTGAATGGTGCACGCACGTAAACATGGCTGCAGATCATGAAAGGCGTAGTTACAATTGCAAAACGAAATACTAGGGCTTTCGGGGACACAAAAACATGCCTAAGTAGGAGAAAATCATCCATAATACAGCAGACGTATTTAGTACCACAATGCTACGCAGATAGAAACTATGAGCTCTTGACAGTCCATCCCACAAGGACAAGAAAGTCCTTGTGGATGAATGCGAGAAGACAAACTATCGGGGCGGAGCCACAGCAGGTCAGGCGCGCGAGATTGGTCACCTACGGATTTTAATCGCGTAGAGCACAAAAGTAGAAAAAAAACAGGGCTAATCAAAATTTTGGTTGAGGAATTTGTGCACAGGGGGTGGCCTTGAAGCCAAATGCGGATCCCACATACGGGTAAATATGTATACAAAAGAACTTCAAAGCCAAAAAGGAAGTGAGACTGAAAATGTAGGAAAAGATTAGCACCTAAGAGTGGCGTTTGTTGAAGTATCACTGAATGCATCACAATCGAGGCTATGGCTCGTCTCAGGAGGAAGCAGAGTAAAGTGATCGGTCAATCTGAACACGGAGCTAAAACAGGAAAGAGAGAAGAATATAATTAAATCAACCTAAATGCTTGAGCAAATTCATATTAAAGACGAAAGCGCACTTGAAACAACGGCCCAGCTAGCAGCCTCGCAAATCGAGATGACAACGTGAACGGCCAAAAATCCAGCGCGCCGAGCATAGCACTAACAAATGCGACGCGTTTGCGCGCCATATTATGCGATTTCATTGGAACTTACGTCAAATGCCTCAGGCATGAGACCTTGGTCGTTGTGGTTGTGGACAAACAACATTTAGACGCACGCTTCTTTGCAACTACGAGCCTTTAACAAAGAACGAAGATTTGGCAATAATCGCGGCTCTAAAAAATTAAGTTTGTGCGTGTCCTGTCAGCGCCGTTCCGAGGAGAGCTATTCTTGGAGGGCAACCGGAATCAAGCCATTCCAAGCACCATAGTTAATACTTCGAGTTAAATAGGCGGCGCTAGTACACAAGTAAATAGGATGCAAGGTTGTCGTTTGAAGTGGAACAACTTCAAGAATCAACTTCATCCACGACAATGACTACCCAGGTCCGCCAAATCTCTTTTAGTCGGTAACAAATTTGGTGTCACTGACGCATAGCGCACAAGAGGCAATGATAGCTACTTTTTTTCAGTCAACCTCACTTATTTTCCTAAAAACAACTGTTAGCCAGGTTTGTAGCCCCGCCATCACTAGCAACACAGCCAAGGGATTTTTGTTAAAAGTGCGAGGAGTGGGGGATAACCTACTCGGAATCGGAGTGGGGGCATTGCATATAGGACCACTCTTCACCGACTGACAAGGGCTGGGCTCCTTGCTAGAGGGCAGAGGCGCCGACATGGCACCCGCGCCATACTCACTTGGCACCGAGGGTAGACTCGAATCGACAAGAAGAGAAGCTCGTGACGGCACCTCTGCTGCCTTACTCGCCAGAGGCATGGGTGAGGGGGCTGGTTGGATGGCACGCATCTGCCTAGACTGAACCGGTGCCGCGGCGAGTGGGCGGGACTCGAGCTTGGGAGGCTGATCTGATTGATCCTTTCGTTGGCGAGGCTGAATACGAGGGTAAAGACTGGGAGAAACTCGACTGAAAGGTGAACACGAAGTGGGAGCTGAAAGACGACTTCCGCCTTTGACAGCCTCCCCGGCAATGGCAACACCGTTCTGCAAAAAAAAACAAACAAATTGTTAGCAGTTACCAATTAGTCTGGGATCGTTAGAAGCAAAATAAAAGTTAAGTTAGCTAAGCGTAAAAATGTATGTGGAGAGAATTGACAGGAGAGGGAGAGTACATTAAAATTGATAGGCATATGACGGGTTATTACGTAAACGCCAAAAGCATACAAAATCGGACATTTTTAAGATAAAATGTGGCGCCTAGAAAAAACGGACACAGCGAAATCGATAAATTTTCAAAAAAACTACACAAATTATCAAAGGATATGAAGTTCGCACAAAGACGGTCACCGAAATATGTTCAGTAATTGCATTGAGTTAAGTGAAAAACATCTGTTGAAATATAGGCGCATGCAGTTACACTAAAGTTACGTAGAACTGGTGATAAGTAGGCTAGTAAAGTCAAAAGAAATGCGGCATTATAATTGTCAAAAAAGGTTGAGTGTGGAGAGAACCAGAGACATTGCCTTGGATCCGACAGGAAATTGCTTGTTCATGCACTCTCAATTACCGCACAGTTGGATATTTACAATGCCTCGCATTAAACCTCATCGCTTTCTGTTTCTTTTTTGCGGTAGAATGACCGATTCGCTTAAGTAGGTTTTGGTCTATTACAGCGAGGTGTCAAAAGTAAAAAAAAAACACCAAAAAGACCGCTACTCATTTCAAAAAAAATGCAGGGTGGAGAAGTGAGCATAGATACGGAGGAAGAAATAGGCAAAACACGGCAGTTAATATAATCAGTGATTTTAGAGGCATCAAATGCCTAAATTTCTTTGAGTGGTTAAGACGACATTGCTAATTTGATAGTGTCCGGTAAGAACGAAACAATTTGAGAGGTTTTTAGATTACGAAAGTGGGTTTCTTAGCTTTACACAACCTGTGAGTAGCAGGCAGAGAAATAAATTGGAAGAAATCAAATGTGCAATAAATTTTTCACAAATGCGGAAGCATTACAAAAACGGAGTGGCATCTCTCGAAGAAATATCGTTATGGAACAAATCCAACTATCGCTAATAGTTGCTTTCGTTTAAATCTGTCAAATGTGTTAAATTTATGTCAGATAGTTGAGTTTTTTGCTGAATAGAAGGAGGAAATGTAATTACACGAGAAGACGGACTAGTTGGATACAAGCATAGCGGAAACTCAAACACGCTTCTAAAACAGGCCTCAACAGGGAATAGGTATGAAGATATTCCAGGTGAGAATTGTTAGGAAATCCTCCAACAGAAGCATGCGATTTGGAAAGACGAAAAGAAAAATAAAAAGGCAACACACACTTCCATCCGATGACAATTTCCAAGCCTAGAGGTGATTTAGCTGTTTCCAAAGCATAACCCTTCTACGATGCTCAGGATCAATGTAAGTATAGTCGAAGCAAAAAAATTAATATCCGAGTAGGAAGAAAGTTAGGGAGAAGAGGAGTAATAAACATTGATCAATTTTGTATTTTAAATTACCGGGAAAGAGAATTACAGGTGGAAATCCGTATTTGGACAGTAGCTAGGCTTTATAACACCCCAAATTAAACAAATTGTTCATTTATTAGACAAGCACACAATTTAGCAATGAGCAATAAGAAAGGCATGTAGGGGCAGGAGAAAAAAAGCGAAATACCTTTTGAATTGCTAGTGGCGGCGGCGGCGGGGTGGCGGATAAGGCCGGTGGTTTTGGAGGCTCACCACCGAGCAGAAGGACGAGGGACGCCGAAGTGACCTGGCAATCCGACTAAAGCGTTGAAATGCTTACATGTAGGTAAGGGGGCAGAGCACGCGTGTGGGCGGCAATTTCGGATAGCCAAAAGTCTGGCGACTATACATTCAGACAACTGCAGAAGAGCTTGTCTACTTTAAAAACAGGATGAACAAAATAAATGTACACCGAGAACAGGGTTCTGACACCACTGTCCAATAGCTGAAATGATGGCGGTGCATAGCGCGTGGCAGACAAAGTGTTTAAATAAACAAACATGCTGCTAAAGCAGTTGAGCTAGTACTCGCGCAAAACTAACAGACGAAGGCGTCTCGCAGAGATGTTATTTGAAAATACGGTGACTCACGCAGCACGCAATGAATAATAAACAATAGCAAATGACAGAAGGTAAGAATCTCTGGCACCACCTAGTCTTATTGTATTCCGTAACAGTATCAGAAACGAAACACAAAAGTTGTAAAGATATGAGCAGCGTGCCAGTTGGCAGCTTAAAGATCCGGAGGCGCCATTTGTTAAGTCAGGAAAGCCAATAAAGCAGCCACGTCTCCGTGTAATTCAGAGACATAAAGTTACATAGCACCTTACTTTAAAGCACCACATACCGGTTGCTGCTGCTTATTGCAAAATAATGGCAAAGCCCCAATGAAGGTGCTGAATTGGCAGTTTGGCGGATCAACATATTTTAACGAAGACGTAAGTTACTTTAGAATAGAGGATGTGAGGATAGAGCTTAATAACAGTGGGCGTTGTTTGGTAAATAAGTTTCAAAACAGTTATGGAAAGCATAAATCAATAGGATAAGTCATTAGGATGGATGAAGTCTTATCGTGATTAGCGAAAAAATGGTGAGTAAAACTAAAGTTAAATACAAGTAGGTCATCGCTGAAAGGTAAGTCGGCAATAATCCCAACAATTGCAACTTCCTCAGTCATTGTCCACAGAAAATGTTACAGCCCCTGCAAACTCCTCGAGGCAGGCTTACCGACCAATTTTAAAATGAGTTGGCAGAACCAGCGCGTGTGGGTGGCAATAGCGGTGATTGAATTTTTGCCCTAAAGGTTACACTAACAAAAACAAGGAAGGAGTTTGGATTGCGGGGTACCCACACAGAAACGAAATGCAGGGCTGAAAAACCCTGCTGAATTGTGCTGAAAAAAGTCCATCAACGGGGACCGCATACTTCACGAAGGCTTCAACTTTGCTACAACAGCCAGTATTCACATTGGAACAAGGCGTAAAAATATAACAGTGAACTACTGCAACTATGATCTGAATGCTATTGGCAATCCTACCGTTGAAATTACAGCAGACGCAGATGTCTTCGGCGCCGCGAGAATGGGTGATGCAAGCCGAGTGTGCGCAGCCGAGACGAAACGCTCGGCCTGAGCCAGCGAGCTCTCCACAATGAGCGGATTCAACGTACTGGCGGCGGCGGCGGCGACAGTGGTAGCAGTCGCCTCGGGCCCTGCAATGGCCCTCACCGCTCCACTGTTGCTAGGGCCTACAGGGAGTAGAAGGGGTCCAGGCGTAGTCTGGCTGGACGCAACAAGCGAAAGAATGGAACGGTTCTCCGGGCGTGGCATTGACTGTGCACCGAAGCCAGTCAACTCGGGCCGATTTCCAAAAACAGTCTCATGGAGGTAGGGTTGCGCAGTAGGGACACAACCATTCTGCTCCTCAATGCCTTCACGATTTGCAAAGTCTTAAAAACATGAAAGTGCAGATTTGGAACACGCAAATTTCCATTGATGGTTAGGTGTTTTTAGATAACGATTTTTTATAAAACATTCGTTCACTTAGGTTCTTTTGTAATACACACTAACTCTAGGTGATTAACTAGTCAAAAAAGATCTCGCAACCCTAATTGAGTTTGCACATCAGGCAATACAAGAGGGCAGCAAACATTCACGTGGATGAAATAAAGCTCAGCGCCGAACAGAACAGCCTCCTAACTTTACCGGTTGTAAAAATGTCAGCTTAGCAACTAACTTAGATGGTACTTGAATCTAGGTACCAACCATGAAAGTAGAGCGAACTGAAAAGTAAGCAGTGTGCGATGTGGACGCAAATTATTGTTCTTTTCAGAGAAAAGCGAACGGCCTAAAATGCCGGATAGTGTAATCAATGTGCCCATATTTTCGGTGTTACGAAAACAATGCCTCATGTTGTGAAATTCGGAAATGAGTATGACTGGGATCTACCGAAGAGGCCTCAATTGGAGCTACACGCACTACCGCATAGGGTTAGGGTGTGACCATAGTGATTTTCTGTCCGATTAACCGCTGAAACTTCTAGACTTTGTGTGCATCAAAAACTGAACCTCGGTAATACAAATAGACGACTACGGCAGGGAGATCCAGACAGGGTTTTACGTGAAAGTATCTGAAAGCACGGAGGCAGTTTTGCCAGGAAAATAGTATGGATCTGATAAAACCGTGACTTATGATAAACACAGACTATGCAATTCCCGGGAAAATTAGGAAAAAGTGTAACCAAATTGGCCAAGTTAGACTGAGCAGGAATACCCATGTGGTTAGCAGGGTGAGGCGAGTTGTTGTGGTTTAAGGCCAAGACATTAGAGGACGAAGGCGGGGCTGCAGACATGGACTCGATAGTGAAGAGGGAAGAGGAAAGACGTGAGTTCACTGATCGAAGGTGTTCTCGTTTAGCCTGTAACCGAAGGACCTTTGCCTCTAGTGAGTCATTCTCCATCTTGAGCTGGTGCAGGCAGTTCAAAAGGGAGACAACTACAACAGAAAAGACTCACAGTGGTAACACATGATTGTTTTCACAACCACCACATCTGCCAAACCGAAAATTGTTTAGAGATTGGCATGAGTAAAAAGTAGTCTTGGGTGTTTTTCGGGAATCATGAAACCCACATCCATTAACCCAGCCTTCGCATGCTCAAACTGACCGCCCTTCCTTTTCATAGCTCCCCTATCGATCACGCGGAACTGTCTGTTCAAACACCCCTGTGCGTGTACCCAGGACCTGCGACTCGTTTCACTCGCCCGCACATTCAGCTAGGTTCACCCAGGCTGTATTGATGGACAGCCCCATGATGTGCCAGACACGACCTTTTAGCCAGATGGCGCGACACCCACGACTGAGTTGACTCAAGTCAATGTAATCCGGCGGCCCCGGTGTGGTTCCATGCCACATGCTGGGGCGTGAACACGATTGTCATGTGAGCAGGGTCCCCTTTTATCTAGGGTTATCTCTTATAGCAGTGAATACAACATCAGTACTCCTGATGTTTGTGGTTGCAATGAAGCCCCGCTAAGCCAGCTTACCTCACAAAGCATGCACAAGCAATTAGAAGAACTAAACGCTACGCATTATTGGTGGCATAGTGAAACGCTCACTTTGAAAGGAAGTGGGCAAACATTGTAGGCCCAATTAAAGACATTAAGTGACGGGAGACAATTCGCGAAAATTAGTGTACCGCATGGGCCTTGACCATTGCACCGACCCCACATTCATCAGTCCTTGGTAAGTTCAAATGATAGAAAGAAGTCCTAGCGTTTTAGTACCTTTGACATTTAGCCTGACGAGTTGCGGGTAAAAGGTGAATGCTAAATTACGCGACGCAGACTGCTTCGAGCGGATGTAAAGTAGTTTGCTATCCAAAAAGTTTTGCTGTACCATCAGATCCTTCAGCCTGTTGCATCAAAAGAGCGCCCCCTTGCTCCCACTGCCACTCTAGAAGGTCCTCAATCGTATTGAACTCCGCGCGGGTCCTGCGGTCGCCGTTCTGAGGGACACAGAGGCCTCGAATAGGGAGAGGCAAGGGAGGGGGTTGGTGATGCGCGTTAGCCGGGTTCGGAAAGCAGGTTGACGCCTGTAGGTGCGAGCAGAAGTGTGGCTGAGGTGGCGAGCCGTCGTGCCGCGATCGTTTGGCTGCGGGTGCGGGGCAGCTGGGCGAGATTGACGGGGAAGACTTCGACGCGAGGGACTTTCGGCTGCTAATCTCCCTCGCACGGGCGGCTAACCTGAGAAGAATAAATAAGCCGATTTTAGCGAGCTGGCAAATTAGCAAGGCGGACAGAAAGGAATACACGGCAAAACTAATACAATGATAGTCCAGCACTCAGCAATCCTTCAGTTAAAAGGAGTATCACATGGTAATTCATATTTGAGCTTGCACTTGTTAGATTCAGAGGGGACGCGGAGACGGAGACGAAAAATACACCCGAAAAATTAGTAAACCTTCTTGTGGGTAGGCAGAACATCTCTGAAACAAGTCAGTATAGCTTATTTTTAACCGATTGTTGTTTGGTAATTTCTTAAACAAGCAGCAACTAAGGCCGCATTTCTCCGCAAATAAGACTGACGCTCATAAGGACAGCACTGATTACCAGTAAACTATGGTGGGCAGTGGGGACGAGGCTACAACTGACCGGACGGAAGTAAGGATTTTGTTTTCTTCCTTCAAGGCTGTGGGCTCAAGCCGCTAAAGGAGTCACTGGAGGGCCCGATAGTGCATATACGACGCAGCAGAAGCCATGCCTGACGCTTATTTACCTCAGCCAAGTTACCAACGATGGCTGATCAGTAGATTAAGGTAGGACATCAAAAAATATGTAGATGCAATTAGGGAACCACTTACCGTTGTTCTCCAAAAGGGAATTTGGTCAAACAAACATTCATGTTTTCATATTATTACAAAATTCTTGCAAACGAATGTTACTTGGGCAAAATTATTTGTCAATTTTAACCAATGTTCTAATGTTCTTTCGGACGAGGAGTGATAGGGTTAATATGGCTCGACGAATTTCATGCACGCTAATAATTGTCTGGAAAATTTCCAAATCAAACCGCGTAGCAAACAAGCAAACTTCCAGCAAGAGGCTAGTTGAAATACAACGATGCTTCTTCCTGAATCTAGCAACTTCGAGTAATTCGCAGACTCCTGGACCTACCCAAACACACTCTCATTCCCAAACATCCCCTTTCATTCACATTCATGTGGTGTCCAACTAGAAGCCAGATTCACCAGTGGAAGCCAACAGACAAATATACTGGCCTATGAACAATGTCCAATTCTGCCACCTGCGCCTATCAACATTTAACCTCCGTTGAGGTAAATTAGCATGAACCTCATATCACAAAACCCCGATGCAAACGGCTAAACCGATGAAGCAAAAAGTGGTTCACGACTATCGAAATGTCCTGGACTAAATTCTAAAACTGATTACTGAGAAACAAGCCTGGCAATAAGTGGGCCTCATCAGGTAATTGTGTTGTCAGGGGGCAGAAAGTGTCGCATCGGAGCGAGACGAGGCGATGGTCGCGTTCGAGCGCTAGCTCGAAGACACACTGCAGCGCACGTTTCTCGATGCCACTTGTGTCTTACGCTAGGGTCTACATCCTGTTCCGCAGGGTTTCCTTAACTTCGCATTATTCTGACAGCCCATCATACGTTTGTCCGAAATCACAACGAAACACTTTTAAAGGCTACATCTTAGTATATACAAGTTGCAAATCGGACAAGCATTGTATCACTCGTCAAGCTGTTGGCACGTCCTGCAATGCTTTTGCCGGGGCAAAACCAAAACAAATGGGAGCGGTAAGAGAACTAATGAAAACGGTGCAACACGCCATAAACGTAGAAACGCATTTTGAAAACTTCTGCTCTAGTCTTTGGAAAGAGAATGCAAATATCGTTGGTAAATGTAAATGATGAAATCTCTCGACCAAATCAAGTTGATGCCGCTGAAGATGCAAGTCACATTTAATAGTGCAAGCCTACATGATATACCGTACGATGTACCTCTGACTTGCAGTGTAAAGTCACCTGGATAAACTCCTGATTTATAAAGAGTACACATGAATCGAGAAGTCAGGCCAAGGCAAGAAAGGTCCCGAACTCGGGACACAAAGGTGCTCAGACGGTTAGCGATCAGACAGGGGAATATGCAGTGCTTGAAATTGAAGTTAGAACAGACTAGGACGCACGAAAGGGTGTGCTCCCATCACTCACTTAGCCTTCTTTCTGGCAGCAAGCAGCGCCTTCCTTGTGTGTTTAGATGGCCTACCCCTTGGCCTGATGCCCTTGGTCGACTTGGTAACCGCTTTGATGCCTTTAGCCTTAGGTTTGGCACTTGAAAACTCCTGATTTGCTAGCAGGGCGGCATTACGACGGGGGACACAACGCCGCTGACCAGGAGACGCCGAAGCCCCCTTGTCGTGATTCAAAGCCACCTCAATACTCCCCGGAGTTTCCGTAGCGACCTGTGACTCGGGATCTCCAGAGACCAAGGTGCAATCGGAAGGTCGGACATCACCTGAAAAGACTATCAATGTAAGTTAGTTGTCCACCAAAGGTACATGCAATATCGAGTGAAAAAGGGTCAGTCCAATAAACACCGAAAACTTTGATGTGCTATGAAACAAGGCTGTCGGTTTTTGAAAGAATACGCAAAGGTTGTCTCAAATGGTAAGACATTTAATGGAAACATTGTGGTCAAATGATGCAAGACAGATTACCGTTGGAGTCAAGATCCACTTGTGAAGCAAAGGAATGCTCGATTTTATCAATAGAGGTCCCCACGCTTTGATCAGGATCCAGAGCAGGTTCTGCATCGGTGGAGACTGGAAGTGGCTTCAGATGGGATGCTGCTGATTCAGATGGACTGACGCTGTCTGGAGGACATGAGGATTTGGCGCCTACATCTCGAGAGGGCGTTGCGTCAACGGACACAGCAAGAGATGATTGAAGGGACAGTGGCACTGATGGATTGCTTGCACTAAAGATGGAGAACGGCCATGAACCGCTTAGATAGCAAACAGTGACTGAATTTAAGACAGATATCAAGCTCAACGAAGCCTCTGTTAGGGCCATGACATTTTCACTGGCAACGCGACATTCTGTTAGTGGTGGCGTGATAGAATATGTGAACGTCTATATTGGTTAGAAAAACGTCCACATAGCATACCTTGAGGCGATATTTGTCTTTTTAACGCTGCTGGTAGTTGGAGTTGTGCATTTGTGTTGGGCGAGGAATTTCTACAAAAGACGGTAAACAGGCGTTAAGCAAATGATATTTCGCTGGCGAGTAACACGTGAAATCCACTAGGCATGTATAGTGTAATCATGGCTTGATAATCAAGTCGAGGTCGGACAAAAGGACACCGCCAACGCCTGCTGCGGCAGACTACCGAATGCTGCTAAGTCACACTTAGCAATGGTTTTGATTCCAACCACTTCAATACACACGTAATTGTTTCCAAATCCATTAAGTCACCAGAACTCCTCTCACAGTAGTAACATGTCTTGGACGTGTGGGGGAAATGTGTTAACTGAGGGGCTGACAGAATGTACCTCCCTGTGGGCTGAGGAGCAGAAGACAAAGCAGCTGGAATTGGGTTCTTCGTGCAACGAGTTCCTTCCTCCTCCTCCTCCTCCTCCTTCCACGACGAGAGGACCCTTCACCAAGGCAGCCAGAGTGCGTTCAGACGAGCATAACTCCGTGCGGGGCAGTTCTATGAGACTCGCCTGGGATGCGCTAAATCAGGGTTAAGAGATTAGTTGACACGGTAGGAACTCACAATTTAACGTCAGCGGCAGTAGATGCCATTTAAAGTAACCAAATACGAATAAAAACATCTGCTCAAAAAAAGTAATCACGAGCTTGTTTATTTCAGTAAAGTAAACGCATGGCACAATCCAAATAATAATGATGCAAAAATAAGTTAAGTATCATTAATAATGCACAACAGTACATTCACTCATATGCAGCTAGACAAATCAGCATTTATAGATGGCGTAAATATAGTCAGGTAGTGTGGATCAAGTGAGCAACCGCGAAATAAGCGACAATGTTTTTGGCTAATGAAACCCATTTGGTGCCGCATTAACACAAATGAACGAATTGAAAACAATTTGTAGGAATACCGACCACAGCGTGCTAAAGTTAATCTAGAGTGAACAAAAAATGCGACTTAAGTACACATTTACGGGTTGCTCTAAGGAACCGAGGCTTGACATGCGTTTGGCATGTTAATGATGGCATGCCTCTAGGATGAGCTGGTAGATGAAAAAGAAAAAATAGTACCATTTGGTCACACTATAAGCAGTTGCCAGATAAAGGGCTAGGAATTTACACACCACGTGAAAAAGAGAACGAAAATGACTACTGGCAACACAATAAGTCGCTGACTTCGTACATGAATTGAAGAAGCCCACATCGCACGTGCTGCCTACAACAGCGATGCGCGTCGGTGTGACTCCTATGGCAGCGGATTACAGGAGTCGACCAGTTGTGCGCAGTGGTGAAGTGTCGACAACCCAAATGGCTTCGGTCAAACAAAACAGGGAGAGATATTCTCCATTTATCGACAAAGACCACTTTACGGCATACAATGTGGGCAAATTCACACCCATAAGTGTCTACGTATTTGGCACTAAAAAAAATTAACCTACAACCTGCAATTCCAATGTGACCGCTCGGTCGTAGAGACCACACACGAAGAGACTAGGCTGATATCGATCTGATGTTCCACCCACACTGCGAGGGGTGTCGGAATGTTGTCGTGGTGCAGAGCTAGTCAGCTCGCTTCGTTCGGATCATCGATTGAAGCCCTCCCCCCGCACAAAGTTGTTCTGGCCACGGCGATCCCGACCAAGTGCACACCAATAACTCGGCCGGCGGACACAGTGACGCACTCACGAAAAATCGCGGGAGCGGCTGACGCACGACATTAGAAACACGATATGCGTGGAATCGATTAGCTGCCGCCTGCCCTTCAAACGCACCTGGCTTTCGCGCAGTCGTCCAAGAGAGAAGGGCTGCAAATTCGCCTCAAAGTGCTATAAATGCATCCCCTTCGTATTGCAAACAATTTTTTTTCCAGACGGTGTCTGTTTGCAAACGCAACATCCGTTTTAAAAGGTGTTCAGTTTGGCTTGAACGAGAATTAGTAGTGCTTGTACGACTGGGACAGGTGAGAGGGGCGGTAAAATTGACCGCAAAAGTTATAAAGCGAAAACGGGGTGCTGATAACACCACTTCGTGAATGAAACTCCCAAACACCCATTTTTCGCAGATTTTTCCAAAACTACTAAATGACGACCAAATTGGTTATTTTACACCGATGTTACTAGAGCAACAATTGAATGCGGTAGTATTACATGTATTTATTTTCATAGACATTAGGTGATGACAAGATGTAATTCAATCATCAATGCAGCAATGACATCCGAGTTTTTTGGACGTCTCTGCCATAAAATCTACAAGTTTTGACCCAAAACGTCATCTAGTTTTTTGGCTGTATTTGAGCGAACTCTCATCCAAACTAACGCATAGTGATCGGAAGGGATGACAATCTGATGGAGCCAGATTGAAGAATGGGGCCATGTGGGAGCATTAACGGGTTGAAAAAGAACATGGAGTTCCGCATCAAGTGTTTCATTATTCGCAATAAGCTTACACCGTGAATAATGCTTTCAAGAGACCATCAATTACGAACCGCGATAGTGAGCATCTCTGCCAATCTGTCGAAGTAGTGCTCCTTCATTTGTGAACAGACCTTACTCCTACAAAGGGCTTTTCTTCGATTGTGCAAGGACCAATTTTGCGTTTATAACCAACGCATAAGGATCACAATGCCTTGGGTCTCTTGGAGTGCCTGGTAGTCTAATTAAAAGACCATTAACTGTCTTAAACAAGCTGGTAGGTTAATGCGATTGTACATACCTCCGTCATGATTCTACACAACCATGGTGGCTTGCAGGCGGTGCAGGCTCGGGCATGTGAATGGCACCAAGTTCTGCGCTTTAGGAGGGTGATTCATGCGTCATCAGAAGAATAAACTCGGAAGGGTGCGCAGAGCATGAGGTCACTTAAACCACTGACGACGTCACAACCGGAGAAAGCAATTTTAGGTGGCCTCGGGGTTAAAACTAAAACTGCGGTTGAAAGCGAGTCGAACAACGGGTTGGTTTAAAGTGGGCGTTGAGTAAGATGCTAGATGCATCCTGCTAAAGCTTTTTACAGGAAATAAACACAGACAGACTGACAGTCAATTATGCGTCTAGGTGTACCACAAATTTGCAGACGTAATGACGCAAGGAAACTCGTTGAAATGGCCGAAAGAACAACAAAGCTGAAACCCCTAGGAGAGCCAAATGGAGAAGATTCAGACGCCGCCTTGCAGGTTCCACACGCCCTTCAAATTTGTGCTGAGAAATTCAACTGATGTCTCCCAAAGCTCATTTGTCGTGTACCGCAGAAACACACGCGTCCACTGCACAACAATCAGACCGCTGCGACAGCAGTTGTCTCCCCCTCACTTGAAACACTTCACAACTAGCGGTTTTACAATCGCACAGGTAACCATAAAATTTACATTGACACTGCTGCTTCGTTAGCAGCTGAACAAAACGCCCCATTAGACAAATCATTCATTGAACGAGACAGCACATTCTTGAGAGATCGTCATTGAGTCAAACGATGGGTCGGCCAAGCACAAGAAATGTCTGATCAATTAACTAAAAGCAGCTCAATAGCATTGGTGTCGAATTCTCCCAACCTTTTATACGAAATTTCAATGAGGAGAGTGGTCCAATTAGTTAAAAGTCGAAATCAGTGACATCCTAGTGGAATTATCGACACAACTTCCTACAGCATTACTTTACACCGGAATCAATGCAGCCAAATTGCTTGGCCTTTTCAAGAATGCTTTCAAGCACAGCGTTTTCGCACGAAGCAATTCACACACTCGGAAGCGATGAGGATGGAATAGGGGGAAAAGGAAGGCACGTACCAGGTTGCGTGAATGTGCGACTTGCAATTCTTCCATGCGCAGGGAATACTGACACCGTAGTTAGCCAGAGCATTTCTCTGATTGCGTTCGCAGAAAACACAGGACTAAAAATGGGAGAGAAATGAGTAAGCCAGTTTCACCGGGGCCTGTTAATCAAAAAGGAAAAAATTGAAATGCAAAAGCCCAAATCCCAGGTATGTAAAAAAGCGATATCATAGTACAACCTAGATTTCCAGCTCCGAGGATAAGCGAAAATATGAAGCTTATGATCCAATGGTACCAAATTTGGCGTTTTTGTAATCCCATTAAAAACGGACACGGAAATAGTGCGCGCCATTCTCAAGGACAATGATTTTATAAAATGTTTTTAACTTGGCGGTAGTCAAGAATATCTGCTGGATGGAGGGTTAGTGTGGTAAAGGCTGTGCGGACTTACTTCCTACTTAAGTTCCCCCCAAAACCTTCCAAAAAAGAATCATGACGGTTTGTGCGTTCAGTTTACTAGATGAGGCGGAGAACAGGGGGCGACTCCGCTTGTTAAAAAGCCATCATCTGTTTCAAAGAAAGTGACTCATCTAACAGCAAATTTTCGGTTCATAATAGGGCCCCTTAAATGCTTATGGCAACAGAATCACCTAGATATTTGCGTTGATTAGGTGGGAATTCATAATGTAGCAAACGCGTAGGGAAAATGACGTCACAATTCAAGAATGTGAAGACTCCTCCAATACATAACACTGGCAACCAACAAATACTTATTTTGCTGACTAGGTGTATACACTTTGAGATTGAGGAGGCGTTAGTCGAAAGATTCACGAGCAACCCTCGCTCTTCACTGGGTTGACCAAAACACACGTTTTACAAAGAAAATGACAATGCCATAGGTCGTGGAAAGTGGCAGATTAGAAGTGCAACACTAAATTTTGGGAAATGCACCAAAAGAACGCTGACTGACGGATTTGAAACTAGGCCTAGAGGGAACTTGGAACCCGGACCAAACCATGACTACGGCTGTCTACTGATGCTAAAACGAAACAGTTCATGGGCGCATTCCTAAAATTAACTCATTCCAATTTGTTACACTGTAATTAAAATAGGAACCTGCTCAAGCGTTGACCAACCCGGTGCAATCTAAATTAGCCCCTAAGGTCAGTAACGACACCGCTTCACATTTAGCAGATTCGGGAGTCACGAATCTGAAGGGTGGCTAGGGCCTGCTGATAGAAACTCGACACACTGGTGTCGGCGTGGCGGTGGATGTTTCGGAGCGGACTAGATGGCGACAACCGTACACCCGCTCCGGCGTGGGCCGAAACTCATGCACTGCGATTTCGCTACACTCACAAAACGCAATACCGTTGAATCTTACTTACCAGAATTAACAAAAAGGAATGCATTACAATGACGGTCAGTCACTTTCATCAAAAAGGCACAATAATAAGATCCAAATAGGACGACTCCTTAGGAGTCAACCCAAATCCACAAAAGGTAAATTTCACTAACAAGGTTAGATATATCAGTAAGATGTACACAGGGACTACTAATCCCTGGTAGTTGTGGGATATCGGTCCTAGTGAGACATTATTGTGTGTTTGCAGTGTTCAAACGCTAGACGAAAACCATGCTCTGACCTGGTTACCTTAGTCAGCGCAAAAAAACGACGAAACCAGAGAGAAGAGAGTGAATAGGCGTTGCAAGATACCTTACAGCACACAATGTATTCATGACATTATTTTGTTGTACGCGGATTGCGGCCTATACAGTACCTGCACGGGCTTGTACATCGCCAAGAGCTGAAAGCGAAAACGCACTTCTGGAGAGTGACTCATCGTTTGTGTGTATCTTGTTTGCACGTCAGTGCACAAAAGTGTAAAGTAAAGGCAACGCCTTAACCGGCGGCCGAGATGATGAGAGGTCAGATGCCATACATTTTGAAGAATGTGCATTCACAGTAGCGCTATTAACCACAATCCTTCAAAACAGCAATTGACAAAAAAAGACAGTAACAGGTGCCACTGACGCGGGCTTATAATAAGAATGTTCTCTCATGCGCAATAAATACGGAGAATTCATGGCTTGACACGTCCATAGCGTTTAATTCAGCGCTGCTTATGTGGGTTAACGAGATCATATTCGTCAATAACAGTGATGATGATTGTCTACGCGAATACACATCGCTTGGTGAATTAAGTTTGAACAAAATGCTAAAAGCGTGTTCAACTATAGATTTAGTCTAAGCCTCACTACTGGAAACAGCAACTCCTGAACACCAAGAATGAGTTGTTCGGAAATTCCAAAGAATCCGTTCGCTCTGTATTTAAGCAATGAAGTTATTTCGATTTTACGGTGCAAAAAACACATTTCAGCATAAGAGTGGATACTAAAAAATTAGGTATTTACAACATTACCAAATGACAATCTGCTGTTCCTCTGGCAGTTGCACATCTTCGCGCTTGTACAAAATACGGTGCCTGTTAGTAAAATCCTTGCCTGATATAGATTTAGATCATTGTTACTGAAATTTCTGCTATTCAGAAAATTTACCATACATATAAATAAGAATGTGATAGCGCAAATTCAGGGTTGCATGGGCCCATACACAACACGAACCCCTAGCGATTTGAAAATTTCGCCTGTTTTCTTTGATTGCCTCCGCTATCTACGTCAGCTGCTGACAGTGAGTTTGCCGGTTCATCAAGCTTCGAACATGATCACTATTGGTTAATGTAATTGAGGAGGGCCAACGTTTCATCTCCGGTGACGATTGGTTTTCAAAACAGAGATCACCGCATTGCAGTCGAGATACACATTACAAATAGTGAATCAAAATTTTTAATAAGTCTACGTCAACTTACATTATTTTCAGTTATTGCATATGTGATACATTTGTCAACCCCTTCGCGATCCGTCGCACATTATTAAATCAATGGCCTTCTATAAAACCGCTGATTTGATCGCCATCAACTTAGCAGTTCGACCGAGGGAAAGAGGGGAACATTTCTAGCACTTGCACCTCACACACTTTTTTGTGATCCTCAATAGCTTCCAAGAGTTTGAGGATATACGAGAGTAATGCATCAAAGATGTTAATTTCTGCTTAAAACTTTAAACTTGACCCCAAATTAACAGGCACAAACAAAACAACGCGACATTTTCGCACAAATTCAGCCATGAGTGACAACTTTTAAAGGCCAAAGTAAAAAAATCTAGCTGACAGACTGGGCAATTAGTTACTGAAGAGGCGTAATGACCTACTAACCTTATTATAACGGTCCTGAGGAATGCTATCAACTAAAATAAAATCCATTGATTCGTTTTCCGCAAACTTTACTTCGGTGATGCAAAGTGCGCAGATAACATGGGCCCAGCCTTTAAAACAATATTTTAGAATAGTTACTTACCACATCGGTTGTTATTACAACGCTTAAATGCTCCATTCCTCAGGGGGCAAAGATCGCATCTCTGATGACAATTAAAATTCATTAGGACTTACAATTTTGCTCACGCGGACTTGGGACTCGCACTTACGACAAAACCATTTCCCAAAACCAGGCAACTTTATGACGCCATAACAGCCTAAAATTTAAGTGAAAAAAAAATAAAGGTCTGTACCTTGGTGAACTTTAATGTCACAATTACCACAAGTAACGAGTCTATTTCGGTCAATATCAAATGACTTGTTGCACACTGCACATATGCTGTCCATCACCTGATAAAAACTGAATGCCTGAGGAGGCCCCTGGAATGACCTCACAACCGACACACACCTAACTGATAGAACTGTCCAATACAATTACAAGGCGAGTTACCTGTTCGGTGAGTGGCCAAATTAACATGACTTAAAATTTGCGCACATTAACGTAGATATCATCAACATTAGATAACATTTAACATTCAACGAGTTAATGCCTAGCCTTATGTCCAACCTAAAATTACGATTGGCAGCTAATATATGTACTGTTAGCAGCACATATATTTTTTTGATTGCATTTCTTAAAAAAAATAATGCACATTTTTTCCACAAGAATCAAGCACTGTAATTTACAGATTTGTTGCGGCCAACTGAGTTAAAGCATAAAAGAAAACGGTACTATTAACCTGTTATTTTAAGATAACCACATCATCAGGATTGACAAACAGACACGTTACAGATGAAGAGAAGCAAGCAAAATCTAGTAAATTCAAGACCACCGGATACAGAGGCAAAGGGTTACAGATTAAGGAAATGATTTCTGTAGGGGCAGTCACAAATGACCTGTAGGCCTCATACAAATTAATTTGGCTTAAATGAGGTAGGTTGACATAATGATCTAGGAGGACAAGATATAGGTCACGTTATCAAGTAAATTAATTTCTTTAAATTTGCTACCATCGATTTAAGGTGACCGTTTGGGCGAGCAAATAACCCTAATTTAGAGCTTTTAGTTGCAGTGAAGGCTAAAGAGGCGTAAAAATTGGTGAAAATTCTATTGGGAAGTAGTATTCGATGCAGATTGTTGGTGAAACCGACTACAATTTCTCTTTATATTTTCTTTATATTATTTCCATTTGACGGAATGCAATTTGCAAGATTTCACATAACTTCATCATTTTAGCTTTTAATTACAAGTATAAATGTAAAAATTGAAGTGGCCGCAGTTGTTGAAATTACCTTAATAAATCAATCACAAATTGAGGTTATATTTTTGGGAAGTGGTGAACAGCGACTGTTTGTGTTAAGAAAGTCTGTATATGGCAACTTGAACTATGTGCTAGTGAATAATCTGTCTCTGCGTATCACGACGTTTTGAATATTTCGTTTGTTTTTTGTGCCCGAAATCAGGCAGCGACTTACGTCAAATTGCATTGGAAGCAATTTGCACTCAGTGTTGTAAAAACATTGTTTTTATTAAAATCCAAAAAAATCAGACAAGTATTAAATTTATAGTTCTAAGTTGATTACAAAAGCCATTATTCTGCGTCATAATAAGATAATTATAAACAGGCGACTAGGATTTATATGTTCACTCCCGATGAGGTGGATAGGACCTCATGTAGGTTTCGGACCCATGGTAAGAACAAGACTGTGAGGTAACACGAATAACTTTACTAGATACAGAAAGCGCTACAGTCTGGTTTCTTGTATGGGGGAAAATAGGGGCTTTATATATCCTTGTGTTGGTCGTCCTGTTCTACCGTGTCGCTGCACTGGAGACGGAAAACTCGTGAGCGGACTTGCTCTCAGTCCCCGCGTGACGCCACAGCCGGAAGTCACATCCCCGGTCACATGACGTCGTTACCATGGCGTGCTTCTCACCTTCGACCTATGGATTAGCACCAATATGGCTGCTATCTGTCACTCCACTATACTGCTCCCCCCATAAGACCGAAGCTGTCCCCAGCTTCTCTTCTACTACCACTGCCGCTATCTCAATCGTGTGGTCTACTGGGGGTGGTTCACAGTATATTAGGGGGTCAACATCAGTCTCCTTTACTGACGGAAGATAGAGTTTCAGCTTGTTTAAATGAACGGTGAACCTTTGACCCGGCTGAGTCGAAAGATCGACGTAGCTGTCGTCTCAAATCAGCTACATACTAGGAAGGTACTACGTAATCAGGCTCTCGAAGTGGGGGTGCCACGACATCGGCCGGCAACCGCAACTCATGTCCATAGGCCATTACTGCTGGGGTGGAGGAGTGGACAGCCGACCTATATGCTAGTAGACAAGCTGACAAGGCGTCGTCCCACTGATTCAACGCATATTTGTCGAGATGCAGTCTTAAAAGCATCTTAAGCGTCCTGTTAGTTCGTTCAACTTGCCCATTTCCTTGAAGGTGATAGGCTGTAGTACGGCTTCTGTTAATGCCTAACAAATCGCACAGTTCCAAAAACAACGAACGTTCAAACTGGCTACCTCTATCCCTATGAATTTGGTAGGGCACCCCATGGTCAGCGACCCATCCTGCCATGAGCCCTTTTGCTAGAGACACAGCGTCTGCCTTGAGGAGGGGTACCGCATTTGCCCACTTCGTAAAATGTGAGTAATTCCGTTGGCGACTGCCAACCCAATCAGGTAAGGATTAAACCGGACTCGTCAAAATCAAGCTTTTAGCTGATGTTATTAGAAAATACTAATAAGATCTGTAAAAGTAATTTATAATACATTTGAAAAACTGAACTGGGAATTCATTTAAAGACAATACCGCAGAAGCAGCTTACATATTCGCGGTTGCACACATTTAAGGCCTCGTTAATTGCAGCTAAAAAATTTCAAAAAAACGGAAAATTGCGTGATATTTATGTTACTACCATATTTGCTGTATTCACAAAAAACCTATGGGGACATCTGGTTATAAGTGTAGTAGCTTATGGTCTAAGCACTACCTTACAACCCTCTAGTTAACAGCCCAAGACAACCCGAGAATGGAGAGAAGAGAGGCGACCGTGAACACGACCGTTTATTAGCGTCACGCCAGCCAAGTGAGTCTTGGTGTGTGGTTGAGTGAACGGATGACAGGCATCGGATAGAGTAACCAATGAAAAAGGGGGTGAGTCATTGTCACCGTCAGGTCAGTTCACTCAGACGCGATCGCTGTTAATCCGCTACATAAGTGACTCAGTTGAATTATTATTCATTTGTAATGTTCACAAATTCAAGTCCTTTTAACTAATTACTATTGACTACTTATAACTTGAAAAGGCTTTGTGTCTAGTTTTGTTTTTACTTCCTAAAAGGGACCATGTCTGCAAAATATAGGCTGCTCTGAACCCGAGTTGATGATTACACACCTTCTTATAGACTTTTCCAGCTTTAATCCCCTCAGATCATGAGTAATCTAACTAAAGCTCTGGTAAAGAGTGAAGTCATAATCATGGGTAAGGCAGGTTCAACTGTACTTTGCCTTCGACTTGCAGGTAAAATTTGCGGAGGTATCGTTTTTGTCCAGCTTTACTTTCTACCCAGTCCGTCCCTTGTAATGTTAAAGCACCTCGATCAACCCCGAGCCCCTATTCTCAGAAAAGCAGATAATTTTTGCTATCTTCTTCGGCGGCATTTCTTGTCTATTTTAGAATTAACCTAGGTAAAATCTATAACAGCACATTAGATCCGTAAAAAAAACACCAAGTCCATTCAAAACTTATTCTGGTTTTCGAGGCATCACCGATAATTGTTAAATTAACTACCCAAAAGTCAGCTAGATGAAGCAATGTTTCCGGGGTCTTTCAGGAAATTCTAGGTTAGTCAACCCTGGGCATCATTGGACGCTTTAAAAATGGAAAGTGCACTGAACATGCTAATAATTAGGTAAGTTCGTTAATATTAGGGATTCATAGGTTCTAAATCACAATTCCAATATTTAGGCATCCGGGTTAAATTAGCAACGATTAGAAGTATCATAATGCAGAAAAGTGGGATTACGATATCACAGCATTGGTCAGAATTACCAACACTAAGCATGCTTTTGACTTGAATTCGTAAAGACACACCATGTGATACTGGTATCAAAACTGCGGCCCTTGACTGCAAATGAGCTTGGCTTTTCTCCAAGTCGTATTTATACGATGACCCCGATCTGTGCAGCCGACAGTTGATCTATTTACTTCGTGTGGAAGCAACTATGGCCTAATGATTGTCTCGATCGGACTTGAACGGAAACCAAGGTAGCTGCTCAACATTTAGGCTTGCCAAGAGAGATCACAATTTATATTAAATGCTAGGACTACGATTGTTGCCGTTTTCAGATTTTTCCTAATGAATAAGGATGGAGATGTGTGTCACAGAAAAGACGCAGATCGAAGTACTCACAGGAGAAATGAGACGGGAGGAGACTCAGCCATTTGTTCCGTATCACTACCCCTCCGCGCCAATAACGTATGAGTCGAGGTTCCCCATGACCAAGAGCATACTGTTAAAAGGGTAGGGGCAGTGTGTCGGAGACTCGAGCGCGAACCAACATGATTCAATATACACACCCACAAATGGAGGTGGAGTTTTCACGACAAGTTCAAGATTACGGACCACTACCGTCTTCTAACCCTTATTTTTGACCTTGAAGTCCACGTTGGATAGCAAAACCTGGAAAACTGGTCGCGGTGACGATTTAAATTACTCCCATCCTGTACAGTCCCGTGGGTAAGGTAAAAAAACGGCTCGAAGTCGGCAACTTACATCCCGTCACGCAAGGCATCGATCAGACGTTCGTTCACACGCATCAGCATAAACCATGTACAAGGTTAGGCTCGAGCGCTGGCCCCAGGAAAACTAATCAATAAATTACAATCAATAACGGTCGAGGCGACCTCCATGTTTCTAACTAAAGAAGCTTAGATAAATATCTTAAAAACAAATCTTCTTAAAAGCTGCAAATGTGACCAAGAGCTGCTGCTAGAAACATTTGTCGGCCAGGAGTGCGCCAAAGATCATGGACGCGCACAAATGAACGGAAGTGATTACATATATACAGGTGTATGCGTAGCAACAGATGGAAAAATGACAAGGGCGTTTTTTGTGCGTAGGAGTGAGCGGGAAAAACGGTACACTAATTATCACAGCGTTGTATCAAAAGATCGCTTATCCGCCAGGAGAAGATGTGGAAGGCACATTGTGACCTCCCGAAGGTTGAACACTGCTGTTGGCGACAACATCGGTTTTTGATGCTGATCCAGTTGCATCGCCGCGGTGACAAGCAACACCTTCGTCCTCGCAATCAACGACCTCTTCCTCGTCATCCGCCTCCTCGTACATTTCATCGAAGTCATCAAATTCCTCATCATCGTCATCAGCACAGAAACAGTAGTCGTCGTCACCTTCCAAAAGCATAGCAGCTTCCATGTCGTGTCGGGATTTCGCTAGGGATTGCTGCTGGCGTGAGGCCAAACAGTACTCCTCTAGAGTTGTGGGCACTGTCACACCATCCCACTGGGCATCCAACTTGGTTCGCTCCACTAGTTCTCTAAAATTCAAGATATGACGTGATACGTCATTCAAAAAGTCTGTATTCAGAACGGGAATCGTTGCGCGAAGATAACGACGTGCTAAGCTGTTGCATGACAGTAAAAACATGAGTCTTCAATTAACGGTAGGGTCGAGAACTGCAGACAAGCTGCTGTAAAGTCTCCCAAACAGCACCGATCCCGACGAAATCAAAGATTTTTTCATAACTTTAAAGAATAATTACTTAATTTCAAACCATTTTCAGCATTTTAAAGGTAAAATGCAGTATTTTTAATTAAACCCATGCCTAGGAAAACCAAATTCCGATACCCTCCGCGTATACAAATCCCCAACTGTGGCAGATAAAAGTCAGGAATGGAGACATGTCGGATTTCTACAGATTGGTATTTTCTTGCCTTGAATAACTTTTATCAGGAATTGTACATGAAATATAAGGGAGTGCAAACAATAAACGTTTACAATCGCTTTGGTATAAGGACGGATAGACACGCTAAGCTCCCAAAAACAGAAAGACTATTCTGAACGTTCGACGACGCATACACAAATCCCCTTCGTAAACTTCAAACAGCAATCAGCATTATTACAATTTGCTTAGTGAGGGAATAGTAAGCGGCGATTAGCAAAATCAGAAGTAAACACACGGATAAATCAAGGCAAACATGCAAATCTCACACGCCTCCCGCCAATGGAGATATCGGCAAACAATAAGAGAGGAAACAGATAAGAATGTAAAGGGATCAGGCAGAGGGAGGTCTGAATTTGAATAAAATAATCTTTTTTGATAAGCTGAGCATTTTTTTCTCCAGTTTTTCCTTATACAGTTCCGACAAATTATTTAAACGCTGAATTTTCTGTCTGGCTCATGGAATGTAATACAAGTACTTGATATAAGTAACAGGAACGACTTGAGCTTGTAAGCGTCCTTGGGAATGCTCTTTCACTGAACTGTAATCCACTTGGCCGTCTCTCGCTACTACTGGTGTGTGGTTGTCGTATGTCAGCTGAATTGTGTCAGGGGTGATTAGCGGCATCGTTTCGCGAGTCCCATCGGTTAAGTCGTGTTGACTAGACGACTTCACATTTTTTGGATCGACGACTCTTGCGGTGAAATAGTCGCCAGAAACCATATAAGGCTCGTCTGACTTTCCTAGAAGTTGCTTTGTTAACCGACTCCTAACATTTCTAGATCTAAAATCGTGTCTCCGACAGGCACAGATTCTGAACCGGCTTTATATGTTTTGAAACCCTCGATAATCGGATTAAGATATTGTGGCGAATTCGGATCATCACCTACTGTAGTAATCCGTGAACATAATTTATGGTTCCGACGTGTGATCCCCATCGGGGGTATGTTGTGGGGTATGATGAGGTCATTTGCATCCATTTATGGCGCAACTACACAACGATTGGCAGTCCTGAGCAGCATGTTTGACTTTCAAACAGCGTCAGCAAAACTTTGGCTCCGAAATATCCGAAAACCTTTTCATAAGTAAAAATTATGCATCTGTTCGTGCTGGGACCTGTTCTGCAGATGAGACAGCAAGGCAAAACCAAACGATCACATTGGTGTAAATTACTACTGCTAGCATTTACGCGTTGCAGCAAAGGAAAAGTATGAAAGAAGCAGTCTAAAGCAATTTGGTGGACGAAACTACCGTTTCATGACGTTTTTCAATCCTTTTAATTCTAGCACAAAATTTTCCTTGTTTGTGAAATGTTTTGGTCTACGGTGCCATCAACCACGTCAATTTGTGCTAGTAGAATTTAGGACACGAGTTTATCACCCAAACCTGTCCATTCCCGAACCGAGTTGGTTTGCGATTTCTACTAACCTTCGAGAGTGGTTTACAATTTAAGGCTGCGTTAAATGGAGCCGTTGGGTGACGAAACTCCCATCCTGCAAAAAGGGAATGTACTACCCATGCACTGATCTTCCAAACTAATAAGACAGATCACAAAGTTTTAAATAAATGAATCACTGGGGGTCATAATAGCATGTGCATAGTGCACATGCTATTCGCAACTTAACCTAAACACATTTACATTTCCTCACGACGAGGAGTAAAGGCTTCTATAGAGATGGGTTAGGTGAACGCAATTGATAAAAATAAACCCCAAACGTTTAAAAAGTAACAGCCTGAGCTGGATAGCACTACTATACTAATATAATAATTTAACATAATTATAACGTAAAGTAACGGGAAATTGACATACCTACCGTTGTTTTTTTCAGAGATCCCACAAGAAAAGAACAAGAAACCCACAAAGTAATGTCAGAAATAAACTTAAACACAATAAGGAACCGCAAAAAACACACATATCCAAAAAAATGACCTATTCAAAAAGTATGATTTCATATTCTACATTTTTCGGAATTTAGCGCATCGAAAAGTAAACATGGATGCAACAAAACAAATAATTCAGAAGTTATCGTCAAAGCAGGAAAATTGCGATGACAAATACTGCGTCAGAGCCACAAAGTGGATTAGAAATGTGGAATGTGTGGACGACCATTATGGGACGAGTGATGTAATACAATGGATGTCAGTTTTTTTTTGAAAATGAAGTACAAACAAAACCACCATATTTCATCTCACGATTGAGAATGGCGGTGTAGAAAATTATCAAATCAAAACAGCGACTAGATGCGTAATATCGCCACATTGAACAAAACATTACCATGCTCAGCGAAACCTGTTTTACTATTTTTAAGTGAGCCAAGGTCAAAATACTGACAAAAAACACGTACATACCTAACTTTCAACTCGTACGCTTTTTCCTTCCCTTTCGATTCAATCCATTTTCGATATGCAACGGAAGCATCGACATGTGCAGCCGAGTGAATGTTTGGTTCATTGAGCATGGATATTACACTCAAAAGAACAGTCCTAGCAAATAATATCATTTAGTGGGACGTGCCTGACATTCTGCGTAGGATTCCATTGCTCTGATGGGTGTTCATCGCTAAACATATCCTCTCCAGGGGAATGGAGAATTGATATACAAACACTGCCGTTTTCAAATATATTTGGGTGAAACATAGGGTTAATAAAACGCATCGATGGTGGATTATAAGGGTAGTCGGGAGGAAATGTTAACCGAGCCTAAAGATTTGGGTGAGAACACGCAGAAATACTTTGAAATATCCGCCTTCATATAGGGTTTGCGGGGGACCAAATATCGCCACGTCCCACAAAAAAATGTTTGAATCGTCAACCAGGGTCACCTTAAATCCCTCTACTGGCGTTTCTGCTAATTCTTTAAACTCTTTTTGAAGAGCCTTGACTGCAGAACTGCGGGCACCGCCACCAGAAGCCATCGACCAATAGCAACCGAGATTCAAGATGACAAAAATTTGCTGGTTTAAACCAATGTTTCAAACAAACCCAAGACATTCAATCAATCTTCTGTTTATTATTATTTTTGGTATATAGAAACGTCTTTTCCTTTAAAATAAATGTTTATTATTAAGAATGACGCTTATACGGTTTTTCTCATGAAACAGAAATTAAACATGCCTGCAATCCAGAAATTTTTATTTCAAATAATGGCACCTGCCTTTAGAAGATATATCTTATCCAATGATAGTATTAATTCATTTATTTGCACATTATGTATGCAAAAAGTTATAGGCCTGACTAGTTTAAAGTTTGCACGAATTTTTTAAATATAAACATTTAGATCTTAATTCGACTCGAGGTTCCCTTATATTCCAAGCAGTCATTTTGCATAAATTCACAATGAGCACTTAATCCAAATGACGTACAAAGTAAACATCGATCTATTGGAAATTTTCAGCATGAATACGTACGAGATAGACAGTTCTATAATTTTTTCCAAATTGCCACATTTGGGAACATCTTTAAATGACTTATTTATGTGGTTCCCTACATTTTATAGTCTAATTTATTCATTCACTGAAAATATTGCCCCTGTTTAGTCATTTTCGTCTCTAACCTTCTAATCAACCCAAAGCGCGCACCGTTTATCTGCCATTTCTCGTACTAACTTCCAGGTGTGATAAAGTAACGCATATAATTATTCTTTGAAAAAAGACCCCAGCAACGCACTTTCGACCGGATGAATTGAATGAGCGAGCTGAACGTTACCACGTCATCATTACGTGAGCACGCTGGACAAATGCGTATCAAAGTCTCCATTGCTTAGGTTTTTAATCGACGACCTGGACACCCTTCATGTCGTCAGGATCTCGTTACATTTCGAACGCGGACGAGCAATACTCAGTATAGTGAAAATATATGGTGGAGGCCATACGTGCCTGGTTTAGTGATGAAATTTATGCGATAACGAAGGGATCGCAGACCATCACACTGGCTTGACCCAACGATAAACCGCTTATTCCACCCGTTCCTCAATAATCTTCGTTAACGGGAATATACGCGCAAATTTAACATTTTTCGATTTAACGTTCAGAGATAGTATGTCAAGTACTGTTTCAACCGGTAGGCCTGTTTTTAAGATATTCTGGCATTCTTTCGAATTTTTTGCGTATAAGGACAAGTCATTTTGTTCAATAACAGCCATTACATCTTGGTAAAAAGTTACGAGAAGGAAGTAAAGCTGCCGACCTTCAAAAATACGTTTGCAGGAAACTGGAGAGGATAAAGTATAAAAGGTTACACAAGTATCAAAGACGATTACAATTTCAGAGAACCTTGTACAACACGATTTCGTTCCAACAAATCCTCATGTAGATGACCTTGATCGCCGGTAGAAAAGGACGTACGCAGCTGATGTCTATTAAGAAGACAATTAGGTGTGCTAAGTGAGACAAAAAATTTGATGGGCGCAGTACCACAAGCCTACCTGAACATCGCTCTTTGACATGGTCGTTACATGGGAGTCGTCGAATTTTAGCCATTTCTGATCAGCCGCGTCAAAACAGAAAGCAACATCTATAGCAGGAAGGGAAATTATAAAAGATGATGTTAATATTAGATTAGATAAAAAATATTTAACTTGCAGTGTCCAGAATTTAAAGTTCCGTAGTGGTTCTAAGTTAAAAGGAAAACAAATTTAGACTTTGTCAGTATAACAGACGCTAGTAAATAGTATAAATCACAGCTCACGGTGATGGCAAAGAGGTCGTATATGCATTCTGAGGCAGGCAACTTGCCGGTGAATTTGGATAAATCAAGACGGTTCAGTGGATACCGTACGTTGGACTCAATCTTTTCACAGACGCCATGGCACTGAAAACTTTAAGAATTAACGGCTTTTAGAAACAAGAAGCAGTGGCATAAGAAAAAAGAGCTCAGAGCACCGCGGACAGGAAAGTACTGGTGCAGTTACAATGAGCGTTGACGAGAAATACAAGAAAGTCAAATTTGTTAAAGCTACTTTATTTTCTACTGTCATCGCTTTTGTGTGTACTGAAATTAGCAAATACACGGAGGTGATCCAGGAGGAATATCCCTGTTCGCAACATAATAAAACACCACCGCTTAGTGACTCGTGAATCGAGATATTTTATTGGTCGGGAAGGTTTTACACCAATCAGGAAACTTACTTGGGTGGTGCAAATTGACCTTTTCAAACACACACAAAAAAAGAAATGAGCAGCACAAATAAGCCAAACCAACCGTTTAAGGTGAATAATGAGGTATTCAGGGAGACGCCAGATATCAAACGTTTTCACGGCCTCCCGTGGGACTTTGCATTGGGGGCACATCCAACAACTTCCACCAGACAATTGTTCTGGACTAAAGAACTGCTCAATGCAGCTGTCCTAAAAAAGAAAAGGAACAGAGTAATTAACAAACACAACGCAAACACATTGACATGAAAGAAAGCATTTTACAAGTTGCGACGTTGTCGAACAGCTAAATACCCATCAATAGAGAGTGAAAATGGTGTTTATAAAAATCTCGAACACCAAAATCTGCTGCAAAAGATAAACAACTATACTAAATTATATTCCACCGACGTAAATGTCGTACTGCTACACTTTACACAACTTTTGAACGAAAGATGTTATTTCGCAGAAATTAGGACAGGTTAGCGCCCGAAAGATGTAACAAATAAAACTGTAAAGATTTGTTTTGAAAGTCGCTTTTTTAACAAGAGTTAGGTTAACGGAATTCAAAATGATTTTTTTCCAAACCGTTGCCCTGATATTACAGATCTAGAGCAACGCGCACCGTCATAAGGTCCTATTTGACTTACCGTGATCGTTTGCTATTACTTCGTTTTACCAAAAACCAGATTCACATTAATAAATAATAGTAATAACAATAATGAGGGAATAAATTTCAAATAAATGAAGTTTAAAAGAAAACGAATAACATTTACCAAATCAGGCGAGGCCGACGTTCGAACGGAAACAGAGAGGTATCTAAATTCGTCAAATGTGTAGGAACGACGGTCGCAAGTTCGGCATTGGATAGTCGACCGTAGATGGCCCTTGTAACCAAACAGAAAACATTAATACAAGTGCTCGACAGTGCTATACACCAGGTGGCACGTAGCCATTCGTTGCACTTGACATCCCGTCGAAAGTCACTGGGATTACTTGTACAGTATGAAATAAAGCAGAAGGTTCAAATTCAGCACACAAAGCACACGACAGTCTCACAAAGTCCAACTAGAACAATTAGCTGTTCTCATACCGACAGGTGGACTACCAATTGGTGCTTCCTGATGATTGTGGGATCCAAGGTCTTGTTAGGTATCGTTGATGGGTTTAAGGAACTTCAAATTAACAAAGTCCTAAGCGATAAAAGTGGCTGCATGATGTGGCATTCACACACTAATCGTGCAGATTTAGTAATGAAATACTAAAGACACTTGCCCATCAGTATAAAAAAGGTGATTACTGGCAGATACCATAAGGCGAATTGAATGATGATACAAAAGTGAATTTAGATAGCACTTCGAAATAGGTTTAAGTTAAGTGAATAAGGGCTCAGTTTTAAGAATTGTAAGGAAGCGAGACCAAAGAAGCTGCAAAAGTATCACTGCTCTTACGTTAAACCAATCCAAGATTTCGGAGTCATCCACTGCACGATTCCGAGACCACGATAGCTTTTCAAGGGCATCTTCTGAATATTCTCCCGATTGATTGAACGACTCTCTAATTGTAGTCTTCTGGAAGCGAATGTAACTACTTAAGAGTACGACTACGAATTACTCTTTAAGACCGGCTGGCGCACCTGCAATCGAGCCAACATATAGCTCGCATCACGGGCCGAATAATAACAACAAACTTATGCAGTGACAATTTTTCGGATGTCACATTAACTGGATTACACCATTTTCAACGGAGATTACGTTCACAAATAACTACTTATTTTAACATATTTTTTTTTAAATTTCAGATAAAATCTTGCAAGTGGACATTATTTTCGCACCGACCCAACTACTAATCATGGGGCTAAAACTTTTAATGCGATTTTTGCGCAACAGACCAACATTCAGATAATTATTTGGCTTCGAGAAAGACCTTACATTGATTGAAATAGGAACTAGGATTAAGTAAACTACTGAAAGACTATTAAAAAAAAGCTTAAAACATTGTGGCCAACAGTGCAGTGTTATATAAAACAACGGAATAATGTTCAAATAGAAGGAATGTGCTTTCGCTGCCAGCAATCAGTCGAGTGCAAAATCCAGCGTACACTTATGCATAGGCTGTAAAGATCCTTCATCTTAATAAATTCTCATACGAACTGAGAAGTAGATTCAATCTGTCAAGCCACATACGAAAAAACAACGCTTAACGCTATGAAAACCAGCGTTACGCTCACACCGAAAACTAGTTCTTACCCTAAAAGTGTAACGTTGCCTGCATTTATACTAGTGAACAAGATAGAATTATACCAAACTGCTTGATTAGGAAGCAATTTTGAACGATGGGGTGGTAAGAGAGTACATGGAGTTGTCTAGTCGGTGCAGAATTTAGAATTTATATAATGACATTAACGTTTAAACTGCTACGGAACAGAATAAAATCAAAATCTGGCTTTTAGAAAAGGGGAAAAAACAACATTACCTGGGGTTTATTTAAATCCTCGTGTAAGGAGTCCAAAAGGAGTACAAGAAATTCGTGACTGTCTTGTTGTTGGAAACCGGCAAAAGTAGGATGCAACTTTTCAAATGCTGCCTAAAATTTCCAAAAAATTGTAATTGACGAAGTAGCTTTAGGCGTCACTGGAAGGAAACGGTAAAGCCAACTTTGTATTTTGACAACTGAATGCACAAGGTTAACCAAACTAACAGAAGGCAGAACTACATCAAGTGAACTGGATTTCTGAGGGATAATTATGGATTGGTCAAATCGCTATATCTGACGACGACGACGACAACTTAAATATGCAAATTTGAATAATCAGACCCATTAAGACCTGTTTGAAACGAAAAGGAAGCCATGCGATAGCCATAAGGATGAAACATGCCATAAAAAGCCAATTCCGTTAAGATAATTACAACTCCTTACCTTAAACGCCTTGGGATTATAAGGCGTAGTTTGGTGAGGATCACTTATTTCAACGACCAGATTAGACAGCGAACGCGCTAATTTGCACGGTTGAGAGATCTGCGGGGTCATGAAGAAGCTCCAAAAGTGGGGCGCGTGCAACAGGGACTGCAGGGTACTGTTCATATAACACATGTTCCCCAAATTTACAAGACCTCGTCGTAAGGGACGCAGAGGCATGACTGGTGATGGTACAGGAAAAAAAGAAGTAGCTTAAAGAGGTTGTACAACTAAGGCAACAGTAGGGTTTGTTATTAGCAACAAGCCAACCAAGAATTTGTCTTTTTCAAATTCAACAAATCGTCACATCCCATTGTTTCGTCACATAAAGTTTAGACACAAAACCGCACCAAGGAAAATCACACAGGCAAGTATGAGTTAGTTAGTAAAGTATATTGCGAATCTTGATTCAAAACATATTATAGTAATGCATACCATGTATTTTAACAATGTGAATAAAAGTAAGGTGATATTAAACTGATAACACATACTAAACTTATTTCACAAAGCGTGGACACGATAAACAGATAAAAGAAAGATGTCTCACTCTTCCGTCTACGCAGCGGCGAATCGTTAGAAGTGTTGGTGGCGCTACAATAAAGACAACCGAAAACAAGTTAGAAACCAAGATTTGATGATACTTGTTGGCACACTATTAAACAACTTACTCCAATGACTTAGACGTTGTCAGTGGCTTCGTTGATCGATTAACCTAAACAGAATAACATTCAATATACGAGGACAATAAAAGCGTGGAAATGTATACGGTAGCTCACCTCCGGAGCAAGATTTTTATCTGCCGATCTATTTCCAACTCTAAATAATAATAATAAAACCAAGATTTCAGTAACTGAACTCAACAACGGGCCCGGTTCAAACTCTAAAAAAAGTCTTGCAGACTCTGAGCGTTATCGATTACAATGGTGCGTTGTAAAATACGTTCAAAGTAGAATTTAGAAAAAAAAAATACGAACCACAATTTAATTCCGCATCCAGAGGCAAATAGTGGTGGTGTAAAAGGCGTGAAATATTAGTCAATAAAACTGGAGGGGGAACTTGAGGGCTTCACGGAAGCCACATCAAAATTGCCGGTCCTAAACACCAATGGCTAAAACATCGCATCTGTGAATAAATTTGGGGAGCTGAAAATCACGTTTATTCGTGCCGGTATCCAAAGTTAATGCTATGAAATAAGGACTTACTCCTGGTGACTTGGTACAGGTGGGGTAGGGGCGTCATTTCGCGGTTTGGTTGATCGATCAACCTACAATTTAGTGTTAGGAAGACTCTAGTTTAAAAAATCTGGTGATTACACCAACTATAAGAGTTTTAATCAACTTTGAAAGCACCTTGCAGAGCAGGGCATACCCAGATTCTGCTAACAGGCATGATCTTGCACAAAACACAGGCAAAAATTCTTAGGCGACAATTAATTTCGAAAAAAAGTGACAAACATGATACGTTAAGACGGCCTTTTAACTAGTTTACCAAATCATCACCAAAGTCCTTCCGACAATCAATAAGGGATTTGATACAATCAACAAAGACACTTATCAGAAGGTGTTTAGGTAACAGAACAAATAAAAAAGCTTCATTAATCAAAAAAGTATAACGGTTAGCGTTGCCTAAGCACTCCCTTGACAGTCACTTTTTTACATAAGGAGGCACTTGCTACACTAACAACATCATATGTAGACGGAAAAATAAACGATTATAAGAAGGTCGCATTTTCATGGAAATCTCAAAAGGATGTTACTAAACAAGCGTGTTCATTCAGACACTCTGGCTTTTTTGGTTGGATGCCAACAACACGTGTAGTGGCAACCTCGATACTATAAGATTATAACATCAGCCGAACGTTCGCGTACTTGCCGATAGCCCTATTATACACAGACAAGGTCAAAACCGAAAGGGTCAGGAACAACGTTGCATTCCGACCCCACTAAACAGGTCGAACTCAAAGATAATTAACAAATGAGAATTCTCATTCTTCAGTAGTTATAGTTAAGAGCCTTACTTTTTGAAAGGTAAAATTTCAATTTTACTTTAAAGCATCTAGCTAGGAAAATGGAAATTCCTCCGGTATATTTAAAGAGTACAGCTGGTACTTAGTCGTACTAAAGAAGAGCACCTCAAAACGACGGTGAGAACAAGTGGTCATCCAAATGAATGACTTAGTTGATGACGACCGATAACCACGCAGTCGTTAAAAAGGCCATAATAAAACTGTGGTTTAATAATGTGCAGAATCCTATAATGATAAGTAAGGATGCTAAATCAGGACACTCAAAGCCCATACATGCGAGAATATATTAAATTTAACTCAACCTTAACCGGAGGAACTATTGATGAAGCTTCCGGTTTTTTAATTAACTGCCCGAAAGCCGCATTTTGATGAAGTTGTCTCAAGAGTTCCTCGTAGGTTTGGGTTTCTTGTGCACTTGGAACATCGGCCGGCTCAGCATCAGTAGCCTTCTTGACTGCCAAGTTTGGTGTCAGTTTTGCCTCGGTCGATTCTTGAATACTGGGGTAGCCAATCCTACCTAGGATGTGGAATTGGAACATACAAAGGTAAAATGTTAGGATATTTTTCTTGGAAACCTTTGTAGACTAGTTTAAAATATTTAGCCTTTCAAATTTGGGCTATGGTAAATGGTCGCAGTCAAAAAAATATCGCTAAATGATAAGGACAAAATTAGGAAAGGAAGAGCATTGTTACACTAAGAATACCTTTAACATGAATGATTTAATTCTCAGCAACTGTCCACAGAAGCACTAGAGAGTTAACAAAAATTAAAACAGCACATTAAATTCCAGGATGTGACATTTATGGTCCTACTTGGTCAATATGTAAGGATTGTGCAAACAAAGTTACAGATTATTAACCTGCTGGTCTGATAGAAGTTGGTTGTTGCTGAGGAACCGGCGTATTGGTAACAAGAGACGGATAGCGCTTCTGAAATTCTTCAAATCCTCCGGCAAGGAAGACAGTCGATGGTAGCAAATGTTTCTCAGCATTGTACTAAAAATACCACCCCTTTAAGCATGTTTAGACATAAATATTATAATCTTAGATATAATACCAAAGCACAACAACCTAATGGTAAACAAACTTACAGTAACCAAAGCATCAAAAATAATCTTCAGAGGATGTCTTGTTGTTAACTGGAATTCTTCAACACCTCGCTGTCCGTCTATGAGTTCATCACCAGTTTTTTCATCTAAAAGGACGATCAAATTCGCTGATGCCTGAGACATCCACCGACGAAGTTCGTTTTCACTCATCTTCTTTTCCAAAGCGGTTTTTGTGGCTCTTTATTCAAGCAGGAAGAAAACATGAAGTATTAACAATGGGAACAAAAGTGAATACAGAACCGAATACTTGAAACAAATTCCAAAATGAGAGGCTGGACACAATAAAGGTACGAAAGAGAATTCAGGAGCCAGATACGTAAATTGAATTGAAATCGAATTAAAGATATACGCATCAAGTGTCAGTCACTGTAAAATAACATGGATGATTGTGCCAAAAGAAAATCAAAAAATACAATTCAGAACTGGTTCAAAATAATCATTCACACACCCTGCAGAAAGTGGACCGCAAAGGTTTACTTGATTTTCAATATTGATTTTGCTTCTGGAATATTGTTCATTTGAGCGCACATCGACAATAAATATGCTGTCGCCATGACGAATTCTTCCGTACAGTTTCTCCGGTGGCATCCACCGACCAGGGAAATGATTTGAGTTGTCCACATTAATTGGAGAGCACTACAAATATTTTATATATCGTAATTACCAGTTTATCCGAGTTCCTGACTATTGGATCGTTACAAACAGGTAGACTGTCGATTTTCCTATCCATTACACCCAATAACGTTTAATTTTCCCCGTAAGTGTGTATTCTCCCGACCGTTTTCGCCACGATTTCAGCCAAAGCACACTTCTGAGAAACTGCCAGAACGACCTCTAGGTAATTTCACAAAGGAATGAAAATTCAAGAAGCCTATGAACAAAATGATGTTCGAAAATGGGAACAACGAACATCATTACCGGCTGCCTTACGTCTATCCAATCTTTTTAACCACAAAAACAACTTTACAGGTTCTAAAAAGCTTACTAGATAAATATACAAAAATGGTTTTCCAATGAAATGCGTTACTGAATATCACTGATGATTCCTACCCAAGCAACGATTTTAAAACACGTACGAAAAAAGACAACATCTACAAAGACACGTTCAACCTAAATTTTGGTGAAAAACGATAAAGCTTTGACTAACGTCGAAGTGTTTCTAGAGTTTTTGTTCTTTGTCACGATTCCTTCTTATTTCCGTTCATTTGTGCCTAGTTGGAGAGTACACTCTACTTCAAACAATGTGCATATTACTTTAATATTAAGCAAGAAAAAGTCAGCTACTTCGAAAAACTGTCGATAAACTTATATCTCAGGAGAATTTTAATCGACATGTCATTATTAATTAAAGTCATTAGGTTTACGATTTGCAGCGTCAAAATGCATAATTATCGAATAAGTCCGATTGCGGTAAAATGCAATTTGTGAGTTTTTGGGATTTGTAGACCATATGGACTTTTGGTTTCAGTTTATAGCATTAGGGATTCACACATATTTCGAAATCTGACATAGCCTGAGACATAATGCTACGATACTAACAACTCTCAGATTAAGATTCTGTGTACTAATTGTACTTTCTCATGTGATCGCACGATTTGAAAATCAAAACAATCATTCCAGGCTGTTGCGTAAATTAGAACACAAAAAATGACCCGAGATTTTGGCTATTTTGGTGCAAGCCATATTCCTTTCTAAACCTGTTCTTTATTATCAATTAAGTAAGGTTGTGCGCAATTCGGGAGTCTATATCATGTATTTTTTGCTTATATTTTCTATTAGCCATATTTGCGACTAATCATTGTGTGACGGTCTGGCCTGTTCTTTATCCTTCTCTCCCTTCCCGCACTCTCGCCTTCCTCAAGGCACGCCTGTGAGTCCGAAAGCAGCAATAACCCTCATCTCGGCCATCCCTTTCCCCACTCTAACGCTCCCTAAAATCTAGCTCTCCGAGCTTGTATACGATAGTATGGAATACATCCGGTTCTTCCAGCCATTCTTCTATCGTTTGCCTGATAGCCAACCATGATGGTGTGGCTATTTAATAGGGATGGGTTAACAGTCATTTCCTTATTTAGGTCCTCGTTCGGTAGGCGCATTACAGTTGCAATCGGACTTTATCTTTTCAGTACGAATGATATGGTATGACAACAATAAATTAACGATTTGTTACAGGGCTATTTCGGCAAGTATTTTTCCATAAATTATTTTCAGATTGGATCCAAAAAGTTTGATAATCAAAAGTTTAACTGTCATGTCAAAATCTGTTGACTGTAGCAGACTTTTTTTCAGAAGCAATTCGACTATTAAACACCCTCATATTTATTCATGAGTTTGATCGGCTATGGCCGCTTCGCCAAATTTTAATGCACTTTGCTTACCATTGTTATTTGTCTTAATTCTGTTTTTTTCACATCCAGAAATGATACAATTTAATCTTTTTGAAAATCCCTCAACCACCCGATAAGCCACTTTATCCTCGTATCATCAAACGTTTTGGACTTTGATTAAGCAATGTTCAACATTTGCCATGTTATTTTCCCGTAAATCCTTGTTTTACGATACTGACCTTCGTTAGAACTCTTTTCAGTTTGCCGCTCAGCAGTAAGAATCTAGAGTGTTAAATGCATTTATTATTTGACGTTTAAAGTTTACGCAATTTACTGTCATTATTTTTGTTTAACCTAACACGACAATATCTTTACGTCCTGGATCTTTTTTAATGTTTCTTTTTTTTCGACGTGTCTGTTTACTTGGATCTAAACAGTTACTGTTATTTACTCACTGCCTCCCATAACTAACTCAATTCATTTCCCTCTCTAAAAGTCTGAAATTTGAAAAAAATTGAACGCAAATGCCACTATTGCTGGCAGTTACTGAAACCAGTGTCATATTATTCCCGTGTAGCCAGAATTCATCATGTGATAAAAAAAAACAAACAAAAAGCTTAATGTCATGCGGTTTTTTTTATTTATCCCTCTATTCTTTAAACTCTCACTTTGATCATATAAAAAAAATGTGATCATATGGCAAATTATTATTTTTAAGAGCAAACGTTTTGGTAACAGATGGTCTTCTTAACTAACACCAGTATTTACAGAAGTTATTATTTCTGACGCCATAATTGCCTATGCTTATTCAGCCAAAATAGGATCTCTGCCACACTCGATAATAGGTTCTGTCAATTGATTTAATAAATGAATGATTAATTTCCACACATATGATTCCTACTAAAATAGTTGCAGATATCTTTGCTGCCACGTACAAGGTCACAAAAAATGTTTGATTACAACAAGCTCAACCTGTGCTGTCTTTGTAAGTTTAAAAGCCGCGGTTAGCCACAGACATGGATGAGAAGTTCTGTACAAAAAGCAACGCAGCAAGAATGGTAGACTTATATTGACGAAGCCTGATGAAAGGTGCTGTCTTCTAGTTTGTCAAGAAGGCATTACTTTTTAACTGATTCCTGTAAGCAAGAGCTTAGCTATTCTGCACACACATATCTTTTTACATATCGACAATTCCTATTCAATTTGCCCATTCATCTTCAGGTTCATCATTAATCCTAAAATTGCTTAAAGTCGGCCACGGTGTCTATTAGTTGGTGCACCTGAACTCAAACTCAAGCTTCAGATGAAACTGTAATGAGAACTGGTTTTGTTATTAGTCTGAAAGGCAGTGACTCATTTGCATTTTGTTTCTTTGCTGGCGTGGGGGCATATGTCAATCAAATAACGTGAGTTTGAATCCTTGTTTAGGTGTACGGCTAAACCCCAACACAAATGTAGAAATAGTTGTGCTAAAACTCAAATGAAGGGCAGTGATCTTGTATTCGTTTAATTTATTTGATAATAGCTAAGAAAATTATTTGTTTCAAGTTATTTGGTCCTATTCAATCTTCAACTACCATTATGGGTAGGTTTATTTGTAGTGACTCCATGCCGTTAATGTTAGAAATGGAGGTTTTTACTGGAAAAATGTAAGACACAATATGGATTATTCGGAAAAAAATATTTAAAGATTGCGCATTTGCTCTCATTATCCCAACTGCTTTTGCTCTGACAACATGCATAAAGCCTAAATTTTATTTGTCGCTTTTCATAACACACCGCCATGCAGACCAGGACCTGGATTACTTGGTACATAGAAACAACATAAAGAATTATTGTGAGTTCCTATTAGTACTAAGACATACGCAAGACTTTCGATGTCAATTGGTTTCACCAGATATTGCAAGTATTTTCAACTAATTCAAAAGACCAGTTACAGGCCAACTAAAATATTTACCAAGCTTTTGCAATTTGCTAATGAAAATGTAGCCGACAAGAAAGCTGACTCCGAGTAGAGTTTAGAAATATCTCGTAATTACCACAAAGTCTACACTTATGGGAAGCCGGAGCTACTTCGAATTTGATGTAAAAGGAAGACAGCTTGGCAGAGTTCCGTCAACGTCAGTTCATCTATATCTTTATGCGTGCATTTAAATTTTTAACATGGAATAAAAAAGAAAACAAATTCTATAGGTCTATTACACCTCCGTAGATTATTAAAAATGTTTTCCCTGATGTTATGTTACTGAATCATATTGCCTACATTGTTCAAACAAAATTGATTTTAAAACTGCACTTTATCATTCAAATAACATCAATGTCTAGATATTAGATCATCTAGTATAAATGGAGGACTTGAGCTTAACAATGTCCTTCCATTGTAATGTTATATAAGATTGGCGATTGGATATTTTAGGGAGGAAGAAGTAAGCAGAGCCACAATGAAATGTGCAACTCCGCTGCAGACAATTGACAGATCGAGACTTTATGCATCCAAGGGTTATATTTGAAGTAAGATTACTGGATGGGAATAAATAATATAATAGCCGAGAAAAAATTCAGTTTTTTCCGGTTGTTGCGCTAAATCGGTGTGGCGAAAATTGGCAGACCTAAAAAGGTGGGAATATTATAGGCCGTTCCCGAAGGTATCGGTTGTTGCATCGTTTGCTGAGTGGCGCGCAAGAAAGTAATTGGGGCTAAAACATAGTGTTTACATATAGAAAGTAGGTACAGTTTTGAATACCACAAATTATTGGCTATTATACCCTGCTAAAACTACTCTGAAGGATATTGTCAATTTATGAATGATTAAAGAAAAAACTGAGGAACATGACTGTTTCTAGACCATTTGTGTGAATGAATTTAATATAAACTAGAAACACGGTTTAAAGTTGCAGTTTGAGACTTTCCGCAGGTACAAAATAACTTGGATTTGGTTTGTTTTAATCTCTCAATATTTCGCTCGCCGACCCCTACTAGCAGACTTAAGGTTCCGAGTGCTTTAAACGACTGGCAGGTGATGGCGCTTTTATCCGGAGGGTCAAATTGTCTACGTATACTAGCTATAATTTTTAACTTTATCGTATTTGTAAGTCTTTTTTCTTTATGTTGTGTTTTTTCCGATATGCTGTACCCCTTGACCTAGGTAGTCTGGGCGAAATTAAGGGTCTTACCGGGTTGTGGTCATCTGGCGAACTGTTTTTGGGGGGTTTTGACTTTCCGCACAAAATTTGCTGGATGCGTAATGCCCATTGCTCCTTCTGTAATTGCAATAAGTAATTGACATCAATGTCTGTGAATATTAAATTTCTTCTTGTTACAAAATTGTCCCTGTGCTAGCTCCTAAATAACGATTCCCATGTTATTTCATAGCCGTCGTACTTTATACAAAAGTTGGTCAACTTTTTAGTATCTTTACGAATTTTACGTTAACACACGGTTGACTGGCTGTTACAAGAGATTTCGCGTGTGCTTCTTTCTGAAATTGGAGGAAGTATTCGTTTTTATATATTTTAAATTCTCTTTCTAACCTAGGTATGCGGTTTGGTGCTTCTCGGTTTCTCCAGTTACTTGCTCTACTCGCTGAACACAACCTTAACTGATTTCAGACCACAAGAGTACGGTGTGGTTGTCGGATTCTTGGTTATTGGTTTCGTCATTTGTTTCCTCGGATTCCTCGGTTGCTGTGGTGCTTGGAAGGAAAATGTTTGCATGTTGACTGGGGTTTGTTTTTGTGCTTTAACATCCAATTTATTTAGTTTGCTGTCATTGTCGGACTGATACTTACACTTGAAATTATTGTCGTGGTACTCGGATTCGTCTACAGAGATCAGGTTTGGTCTTTCAGTTCTTTTGGTCATCCGCTGCATTTTAGCTTCCTGAGTTAGTGAGACAATTTTTAATAAATGAGCTCAGCGAAGCAAAGAAAAACAGTTCTCCGACAATGGACAACATTCAAGCCTCGGTATTCTTGCATTTTTTCTTAATTCGTTTTTAGTTCATGTGTTGTGGTGTAGATGGCCCTGCCGACTATGAAAAGCGTCCAGAGAGTTGTGCGAACTATGAGACCGTAAGTATTCTGTTTCGATTTGCAAGCAACGTTAACTCGTATTAACTTTCCTACTCACAACAGGTTCTTTTTTACGTTATCTGTTAAGAAGCTGGAGTTTTGCCGTCGATTCGAGTATTCATAAAATCACTTATATTTCTTTAGTGACCGAGGCTGTCGAGTTGTAGTCGGTATAATTTTACATATTTTGCTTCACAATTTTCATGTATGTAATCTTTTTGGCAGCCATTCTTCATTCCAGATATTCGGTGCGGGTGGATTTTTCGGGCATTTTTTAAAGCGCGTTCGTGGAGTTTATAGCTTGACTAGAAATAAACTGAAGCGAGGATCTTATAGTGGACGTCGATAGTTAATTACCATGAAATAATTACTTGTTTTTCTGTTTCAGGGGTGTCAGAAAACGCTTGAGGACTTTATGATGAAATATTCGACTGTACTGTTTATCGCGGCAATCGTTGTAGCACTTCTTCAGTTGGCTGCCATAGTCGTTGCTTGCTGTCTTCGCTCTAGCATCCGAGCCTACCAGTCTGTCTAAGTGGAGTGTCGTTACTTTCATGATCCCTCTGCCCTTTACACTTATTGCTTGTACCACACATGCTAGTTGCTTGCACATACAAGTCTTGTCTATAATCGTGACATTTAATCGCTTTTCCCGTTGTCATACCGTTTTTGTTAATAAACTGGCAGTTCATACCTTGGCAATCCACAAACTTCACTTGGGCTGCGACTTCTGCCTTGAAAAATCCAATTAGGGATTGTGGGAGTGACGTCCGGCGTATCGCGCGCCGCACCTTATTCAAACGAAGGGTCTGTCGCGTTTCGAAAGTGCCTCTGTACTTTTGTGGGCTTGCCATTGCCCAAGGTGCGGTTTGCGTTTATTGCCGACTCATTAGGGTTAGCCTAAGTGGATGGGAGGATATTGCAGTAGACGAGCAGGTGCAAGCTTGGTGGCAGCCGCCTTTGTCGGGTGACAGCGAGCGCGCAGAGGGATCGTTATAGGAGCTCTGGCGGACGTGGCTTCTCTCGAAGTTTTCAAACAGCATAAGTCTTCGCGTCGAGGCTGTCTATAGCTCACTTAGATTCTTGATTTAAGGATCGTTCGCTGGCTTGGCAAGTTTTTCCCCATTACAGCTCTCTTGAATTTCGCAAACAAGGAGCTAAGTCAGGTAAATACGGTAATGTAGAGAGATATGTTGTACTTGTTATAGGGAATTCTAAATAACCGTATTAAAATAGGTTCCTCCTGGTTGATAGTATTCTTACAATTAGGTAGAAAGACGCGATGAACCCTCCACATCAGCAATACGCGCTCTCATTGCGATCATCCAGATCAGATGAAAATGGATACGGTTGTCGTAGTCTAAAGGAATGTCGGTGATGTCTCTTAAACTTAACAAACATGACTGTCAGTGTGAATCCTTTGCCTTGTCCAATAACTAATTAAAGAGGAAACTACATCTACTGGAGGGAAATGGTGTAATCACTTGGTTGACATCACACAGGCTGCCGCTGATATCTAGTTTTAAGATAAGGAGGGTTGAAGTCAAACTTCTGTTCACAGGTTGAGGGAAACGAAAAAATCAAAAAAAAAACAGTTTTTTTGTTCCGACAGACTTCGGTAAATTTAGCCTAAAGCTTAATCCAGATGAAGAAAAGCAGGTATCTAATCGCTTTGAAAAACTCATCGCCACACAGAACTTATCTCAGTTGTTAAGGCAATCTATTTGTACTTTAGTAAACATGTTAGGCCACTAATACAACGAGAATGACAAAAGAGAGCAGACCAAAATCCTATCAGTAGATAGTGGCCTTTTTCATTGATGGGTGACAATGCATTGTCATGTAACTTAAGTCACTGCGGTAACAGGAGAGGAATGACACCGTAGCAAGTGCCAGAAAGCATTTTCCATTCTGTGTGACTGGATATCTTGGGAAATGCTTTAAATGTAAAGGTTTCGGTTCAGCAGACGATTCTGAAGGCCTTTTCCTTCTTAACATTGTCAGATTTTTTTTGATGGACGACGTGACAGGGTACTCTAGAATCCCGACATTACCCCATTAACTTGCACGAATTGCTATGGAATTCTATTGGACTGATATCTTGGGATACTAACAATTAGTTGATAAATACACCTGGTAGTTGTTTGAGTTATTGCCTTTATCATTGTATCACGCGTGACAGTAATGCATCAAGTTACTAGTAGTAGCGTTCAATCATCGTAAATTGACCCCAGATGTCCAATCGACTTTGATTTTGCCGATGCTGAGATAGTTAATGCTGACTTTAGGCCTTTTATAGGGAGAATTACGGGACCAGTGTAATTTGAAAGTTGAAAAGTACCTTGACAGTACAACCCTCCAAAAATTTGCTGTTCTAGCGCTACACATAACACGACAGAATCGAAGTTCAGGCATTTTTCGTCAACAAAAATATGATTTTGATGTCAGAATTTGTCGCTTTCCTAAAACATTGCACCAGTTTGATGCCTAACTTAAACATCGAAACGCTGATCTTTTTTATCGTCCTGCGATGCATTGCCAACACCATTATTAATTAGTAAATTACAAGAAAGAGACATTTCAGTGATGTGGCTGTACATAAAATCCAATCTTGGCTTAGTAATATGTGCACTTTCCTGGCTCTGCAAAAGTCGATAACATTTCCTTTTTCAAAAATCTGACTCGTCGGAGTAAGATAGTGGCTCCATAAGAAGTGGTAGTTTAATCAGACTGTATCCTATGGTAATTAATTGATATAGAAAAGTTCAAATAGACGGAATTGTGTTATATAAATTCTAACACTGATTGTCATAGATTACAAACTACTATTATTAAAGGTTCCTGTCGAAAAGGGGAATGACAAACAAGAATTTGTTCACATTATCCAGACGCTCTTAGTGGGCGCAAGTTAAAATTGTCCCATAATGCTAATGGTAAACTGCAAAGTTAAGCAAAACAAGCTTGTTTGCCTTGTAATTAAACCTCGGATGAACTTTAAGTGCTCTACCAATAAAAAAATTAGCGATTCATCCCTTAACTGGCCTTTCAATTTGTGTAGCCGACTTTTATAAATATTTTGATTGGTCTGTCAGACTAGGCGTTGGCTTCCTGACCACTAGTTTGTACACGGCGTTTCTGCTCGTGACGTTTTGCCCTCTGCTAAGATTTGCCGTTTTATTTACGCCGGAAACCATTTTAGGAAAGGACAACGTGTCACGTGATCCCTGTTCCTGTAGACGGACTGTCAGCATTCAAATTCCTTAATAAACGTTTCCATGTTTTCGTTAATTTTCCAGAATGAATGCGAAATGTAAGTGTTCGCTTACATTCACGAAATGGTGGATGTTGACAAGCAGATTTCCTTTCAGTAGAGCTTCAATTGAGAAAGCTCATTGCAAGAATATCAATATCGCCTTAGTGACGAATTCCGAAGTGAGATTAAAGCCAACTTAAACACATTCATTTTAAATGCAAGAAGTACATTAAACTGATACTTGATAACTGTTGAAAATAGTAAGCAGTTTTCGATTAAAAGAAGTGTCTAAACATTGAAGATCACGTACACCGTTTAGCTGCCTCAAGTGTCACGTGAGTTATTGAGTCAAAAGAAACCTTCAGATATGCCCCACTTGATAAATGCGGAAAATTCACGGTCTCAAACCCTGCGACGTTAAAAAAAGTCAAAAAAGAAAACGCCAGAGCTAAAATGCCTGATTGGATTGTATTTGGATAATTTTTGATTGCTATAACAGTCGCTTGCTCTCAACAACCTAACGAAAACAAAATACATAGCATTCTACATCACTATGATCTTAGGTGAAAAGTGCAGATATGGTGTTCAAAAGACTTACAGTGCAGCAGGTAAAGGGATCCTTAAAGGAGTGTCGAATGTTATTACGGGTCTGTGCAGGCATTGCATTTCCTGAGAAATATGGATTCATGTTCACATTTGTGCAACGAAATGGAATTTTTTCATGTTGTGGTTTACTTATATCACTAACAATTTGGGTATTTATTTACAAAGACGAACTGGATGGCCAAACTTTCGTCCGTAAACAGATTCAACAATGCTACTAAATTTACTGTTTATTTCTACCACAAAAATACCTAAATACCCTTGCCCGGTCAGGCATTATTTTGCCGCACTGGGTGTGCGGTTTTCTCATTTCGCGACAAGGAATTTCACCTGATATACCAAATAAGTTTAAACATTTTCATAAATTCGGCTAGATCTATGCCGTTGTTGTGAATCGTGTCTAATACGATCACCCTAGCCTCCGACACAATGACCCGCCTTCACAGCATGCCGTCAGCCATGGCGGAACCTCAACCCACATGTAATTAGCGCGGATATTTACCTTGGAATCGCCTTATGTGTAATAACAAAGCCCCCGAGATCTCGATGTTAGCCCATCAGTGACTCACCCCGCGTCAAACGCACCTGAGCTATACACACGCGCGCGCAAACGAAGCACCATCAGCAACTTGGTTAAGCTACCTAGTGAACAGTTGTGTCTGCGCCGACTCCGATGTTCTTTATCATCGCGGGTATCGGGGTGGCGCAATCGGACCAGATTCAACGCACTGGCTCGGGGCTTGGTTCGTGACCACATGCCAGGGTCCACACCAGAGTGATTACAGCACAGGTTCCATTATTCGGAAGGAGCTTAGCACAGTTTCTAAACCACCACCAAACCTGGATCACATTGGCTTTGCAAGTAAAAACCGAAATCCATTTCTCAGATAGGGCAGGCAAGCTAACCATTCGAGAGAGCGCTTGCATTCATTTTTTTCCTACATCAGAGCGTGTGAACTATGTGAGGCGGCTGCGGCAGCACCACCCGCAACTGGGACAAATGAGATTCACGAGCAGGTGCGCAAGTCCAAGGTCACGCGCCTCGCAGTGCACGACGCTCGCAAGCAGCCGCGTTAAGTAATTAACAGGGCGACGCGTATCGATCCATGATGACCTTATATTTACATACTTTTAGACGCCTCGACTAGTTTTTTTTCTGTACATTTGACAAATCAAGTTTCCCAGAATTGAACGGATAGCAGCAGACTAGTTTCCTGAAACGTATAAGTCTGTAATGAAATGTGTGAACAATATTGGTTTTGGCCTTGGTCAACAAACTTACTACGCTTGATAACAAGATATGTTTCATGAGTAAGTTTAATTGAGTGGCCCCCGACGACATCAGTAATGAGAGCCACAACCATGTGGTGGTAAATAATAAGTTGTTTTGCTGACTCAGACTGCTTTTGAAGCAACCTATGTGTCCTGTCAACAGGTCAGTCTAGTCATCGAACGGTGTTTAGTGCGATGTTAATTCCACGTGAAAGGAATGGCATTTTCGAGTGTGCTTTTACGACCGCCAAAAATCAGGACTTCAGACTTTTCTAGATTTCCCTTGTTGTATTGGAGCTCTCTAAAATGCTATCAACAAATATTGCTATTTCATAAAGTTCCATGTACCTGCGAAATGTGAAACCGGCTTAATTAGGTCCCTCAGGTCTGTGTTGTAAAAGGTTGAA